AATGGGGTGTTCCATTTAAAAAAATTAATGTGACCTTGACCTGACCTTCGCTACGCAACCCAAGGTCAAACTGATGTGATCAGTAAATACATCTTTTTAAACGCCACAACTTTTACCTGAAACATTTTTTTCTAAAATGCTTAGTTTTCGAGATATTTCACCGGTCCGGGACTTTTTGAACACCCTGTATAGTGCACATATTCGACTATCGCCTGAACTAGAATCTTTTTGATACCTTTAAAATTACTATTTTTCCGGACTGCGAACAATTAGAATTTTTTAATAAAAATTATATTACTATATTTCAAGCGCCGCCATTTTGTCAATTTTTCTACAAATTATTTTATTCTAGCTCGAGCGATAGTCACAGAGCAATAGTTATATTCATAAAGAATAAGATAAACGCAAATTTGTTTATTTCAGATGACGAGGACGGCAATCAATTCGCTCGATGGATAATAATTTTACAACATGACCTGTTTTGTCCACTTGTATTTCCTTTAATTTTGAATATAAAGCTTTGACAAAATTTTGAGATGTTTCTCCAAAGATGAAGAAATGTCAGTATGAAACATTAACTCTATAGGTTTAACCATTTACTTTAAATTAATTCCCAAAAATCGCCTTGAAAACGGGCTTTCATACTAGAATATCCCCTTAATTAGCGACCAGATAAAAATTCGGTAACGTGAAATATTATTTCTGTTACAACGGAAAACATTGTTTGAACATTCAGCTGCATTAAAACTTGGTTACTGTAACTGCGAACAATTGACTAAATAGAAACATCCTACAAGAAATTGGCTGTTCTTAAAACTGAGTCTTTTATCTGCTCCGTATTCTTATCAGGCAACGGAAAATTCAGTTATACTAATTATTTGTTCCGCATGTTGATCGACTGTTGACATCCCGCATGTAGCATTGGCAAGTTCCCATAATGAGATCATTAACATAAGTGCGTCTTACCGCTGATTGATCCACAAGAGACCGAGCTTGATGAAGAGCAGCGAAGACGCCATCGCGCTGCTCAACCCGTTCATAAACTCGGAGAAGTCGTCCGTATCACTGTTCACGAGCACGTAGTTGTACTGAAAGACTTGAGCCGTGCTGAATCGCCATGATCCAGTATAATCGCCATACCACAGTCGACTTCAAATATGGCCTGATACCATAAAAATGAAGTCCGACTTTTACTATTTGACTGAGCATCCTCTTTTTCTCGAAAACGTGTGAAACCTGGAGGTATGAATCGATCGAGCGATTCCACTCACACTAAAATCTCTCCGTTAGGTCGAAAACTGAAAGCACACCCATGGCATCGAGCATTCAAATCGCTCGTTGTTAAATATTACTGATGATCGCCTACGAAGTTTTAACTACAGACGACTGTAATTGCACCTCGTGCTCGACGATAGCTTCCCGATTGAAATGTGAGCGCTCATTTCCCTAACCATCGTCGAACTTCCGCCTATGATGTCATTGTACGCCCATTTTAAATATGCAATGGAGAAGGTAAATCTCCTCGAAGAGGGAACGTGGCTACCATCATGTGCCATCTTTATTCCACCATGTGCAACCGCGAATTCGTAAGTAAAAAGTTTCGCTGCCAAAGGGTGCGTGTTTTAATGGAAAAAACCAAAGACATATCTCAGAATTATCGGACATTGCTTATTGCAACAAGAAGGGAGCCGCTAAGAGGTCACAATTCGAAATGTCGTAAGCTGGCGAGAAAGATGCTCGTGAAGCAGATTGAACAGTTCGATAATAATAGTGGTGGGCCGCCAGGAGAAGTAAATCTCAACGGGCGATTCTTCTTCGTAAAAGGCAAGCGTCTCATAATTTTATTTGCTCTCGGGAAGGACTAATTTTTTTAGTTAAGCCATTGGCGTGTTTAATCACTGTTATATTAATTATTGTTATATCAAAGTGAAGCAATTATAGCAACTTTTATGTTAGATTACACGTATTAGTCATTTTGATCTATACTTTGAATAATCCGTTGCTGTGATTTAATAAAAAATTATTTATACAAATAATTTCTCGGTTTGGCCGAGATTCAAACCATTTTTGACTAATTTAGCATAGATTTGAAATATTTCGGTTGAAATCTCGATTAAAGAAATTTTGAATGGTTCTTGATTCAGCTATATCGATTTTGTTAAAATTTTAATTAAAATTACTGGATATCTCTCGGTTTGGCCGAGATTCCAGCAATTATTTACTAATTTAGTATAGATTTTAAATATTTTGGTTGTAATCTCGGCTAAAGAAATTTAGAATGATTCGTATCTCAGCTATGTCGCTTTTGTTAAAATTTTAATTAAATTTGCCGGATTTCTCTCAGTTTGGCCGAGACTCGAACTATTTTTGACTAATTTATTTAAAAATGCAATAGGGAAGGTAAATCTCCTCGAAGAGGGAACGTGGCTTCCATCATGTGCCATCCTCATTCGACCATATACATCCGCGTACTCGTGAGTGAGAAGTTTTGCTATCGAGGGGTGCATGTTTTAATAGAAAAAAGCGAAGATATATCTTGGAATTATCCGACATTGCTTATTACGACGAAAAAGGAGCCTCCAAAAGGTCATAATAGTCAGTTGTTGTTAAATATCACTGATGACCGCCTACGAAGTTTTAACCACAGGCAACTGTAATTTCACATCATGCTCGACGATAGCTTCCCGATTGAAATATAAGCGCACATTTCCCTACTCATCGTCGAACTTCCGTTTATGATGTCCTTGTACGCTCACTTTAAGAATGCAATGGGGAAGGCAATATTAGGACTTAAAATATTTCGGTTGGAATCTTGGCTTATTTCAAAGAAATCTAGAATGGCTCGTGTCTCAGCTATGCCGATTTTATTAAAATTATTTAATCATATCTTGTATTCAATTTTATTTCTTATATATTTTTGTTGTACTTGTTGATGATAGGATTGAGAATAGGAGTAAAAGCTATAAACTGCCAGTGAAACTCAAAGTGGGCCAAAATGAAAAAATATGCCTTAAATATTTTTTGTACCTCTATATTTGTGCCAAATTAAAAAGAAATTGGAGTGTATCTTTTGGGTAGATTTATTTGTCAGTAAAACTGTGTAAGTCCAAAAACTAATATTCTTCATTGATGCAAAATTTGATCATCGTTTAACTCAAAACCGTAAATCACAATATAGCATAAATGTCATTACTCTTTTGCATTTCATATTAGTCATTTTTTTCGAATATATTCCATATGTTCTATATGTTTCTTTCATTCACAGTTATTTTATAATGTTTTTTGTACTTTGGTAAATACTTTGAAGTTAATCTTTTAAGATTATGAAATAAATTCGCGCTCAAAATTTATTCCACCATTTTGTGATCGTCAGTTGTACGGAAAAGTCACCGAAGCTTCTTCTCAATCCACAATAAACGACATTTATTGGGATGAAAGCACCGGTTTATGCTGAAAGATTTATCCAAGTCCCTTTATTTTAGTAAAAAGGTTAGATAAACAACGAAATAAATTTACAGTTGACAATAATAATATGGCGGATTTATTACACAACTTTACAGAATTAATTTTAAAATCGCAAAAATGTTAGTTACGCGAGAGCGTATCTCAGTTGCGAATTTGCGCTCAGCAAAAGAAAAAATAATTCGCGACACGAAGGCACGGAAATTGCAAAAGTACCTTCCAAGAAACTGCAGAAGATTCTTCAATCGTGAATGTACAAATGACAGCTATGGAAAAAATTATGACTATAAAATATTTAAATTGGTGATCGTGTTATAATGCTAATATCATCATAACCCGCAATAATAAGTCTAATATGATAGCAAACTTCTTCGCGTCGCTTTCACGTTTCAGCTTTGAGTTGACTATTGTGATGTGCCTTTCTTACAAGAGACAAAAGGAATAATGTTTAGCGTACTTTGGTGATGAAAAATTAATGGAGTGAAGACTTGTTTAAAACAAACATTCAATATATTTTCACTTTGCGCTAATAAATTCTATTGCTTACACTATCACGTCGTACTAATATATTACAGCATCGTCAATACATCATCCATTTTCAGTACATTGCCATAAGCACTGACATATACGATGCCGATGCCTTCACGACCTACAATGTTATATAGCTCGTCAAATAACTAGACAATATTTTGGTCTCATGATAAAACGGCACATTTTTCCACTTTTGGTATCAATTGCAGTCTTCAACACGTTCACTATCACGGTTCACGATTTGTTTGGGCAATTCCCTCTATAGATTACATTGTATATGTTTCTATGTAATTGTATAAAACAGATTCAGTTAATGTATGTATATGTAGAAAAAAAATTATCGTCACTGTCACATATATGTGATGTCGGTAGCGTACATGTTTAGTAGAATTGAAAATCTAAGTAAAGCTGAGCTCGAAGTAGGAGATCGGTACGTCACACGTATGTGATGTTTGTAGTGAATATATTAGAGTTGAAAGGACATGACAAAAGTTGCATCATTATTTATAAAAATTTCGGTCTTCTATATCTTTTTTTTTATTCGAAAAAAAATGAATTTTTCAGTACTTTAGACCAAAAAGCCTCCTTAATAGCTTGTAAAAAAATATACGACTGATATGGCGAAATAATCAAGTGCGAATTTTACGCATAGACGTGCATGTACAGACTGAGCGCTTCGCAAGAAGTAGTGAAGTACTTGATTAGTAAAAGACATTCTGGTCACAGGCATTCGAATTTTGTCTAACTTGGATCCTGGAGAAAATTAGATGAAGTGAATAACATATTTTTGTGTCTACGATTTTGCGGCGGATTGATATAAAAATCGATATCGATGATCTCAAATCAGCTTGGAAATAGATAGTTGAACAATTGCCGTGACAATAAAGAATCTATGAAGAGAAAGGGAGTCATATACGAGCTGCTGAGCCGAGCTCACGTTTCCCATAGAGAGTGTAAAATACGAGCGAAGGAGAATGACGGTTATAATTAAACGTTCTTAATTTTATGCATACGCGTCTTCGCTTATTTAACGCGCAGAACAAGATTCGGGAGGAGCAACTATGTATAATAAGATAACAAGATAGTCTGTGGACAGCGGAAGCAGAATATAGCTGGTCTTTAATCATGTCTTCAGTCCCTCGTTAGAAGGCTCAGTCTATGTACTAGGTCTATAGTTATAGGTCTATAGTTATGATCTTACGCTGGTGAAACGTTCTAAAGAGAGCTCCATGATCCTCCCACACGTGATCGCCAACCGTTTTTGCGATCTCATAATGATGAACATCATGATCCGACTTTTCTTCACCGAAACATCATACCACAGAGAATTATAGGCTGCGTCTCCAATCATTCTGCCCTGAAAGAAAATTTCCACAAGTTTGTGTATCATTAAAATCGCTGAAAACGCTAACCTTGGCGCTCAAATACTCGCCGGCGAAGCAGTATACGAATACGTCCAAGTTCATTGTGATATAAAACATTAAGGATTTCACAAAAATCGCCGCGGCGTTGGGTTCACCGAGCGACTGCAACATTTATAAGAGAGGTTTGATATTATTCAATACGAATGCAACATGTTTCTTCAATATGAAGAATATACTCGCTAAAGACTAACGGCTTTTTACGGGTAAATATGATAACTGTGTCTGTCAAACAGACAGAGAATTACATTCAATCACGATACTCACGGTGGCCATAATGAATCCTATGCAGCAAATGATCAGGGTGTCCGATAACAGTATCATGAGTGCGATATATGTATACAGATTCTCGATATTCTCCGAGAATATAATAATCTGCTGATGTTTCGTGACCAACATTTGCGACGTAATCTCATCCGAAGTTTCCGATCCATTTCTGGAGAAGGCTCTTGTCAACCAGTCTTCAAGAATGTCTATTTGGCCACCGATGTGGAGTATCTGTCTTAATAAATTAAGTTTTAGACGACGTCTCTCGCGGTTTGCAAAAGCAATTTTCATCCCATCTAGTACAATTTTTAAACATTTATTGGACATTTTATAGCATTTTGTAGGAAACTAGAACAAGCCAGACGGACAGGACTTTTACGAGTAGGAATGTTGAATGTGCGATTTTTATAATAAAATTTACATAAATATTATAATTTCTGGCAGCTTGCAATTTACATTGAACGGACAGTTTGCCTTGTAAATTATTTGCACATGTTAAGTTGACAACACCGATTTTGCACAACAGAAACTCACCAGAGAAACCAGAAGTGTGTTGACAACAGTAATGCCCCAACCGACGCAAATTAAATGAACGAACTGAACCACCGTGACAGTCCAGTATATGGGAAACGTGCTGATCTCGAATGGAAATTTCATTTTCAGGATCAGCTCCCGATTATACGGCTCCCATTTCTCGGGATCGCCCGCATTAGCGGCGAGGACCCCGAGACTGTAGAAAAACACGGAGAAAAATTGCATGAGGATAATTATCCTGGACATACGTCGCGCGACGAACGCTGTTTTCGTCATTATGTTCAGACTATTAAAGTTCGATGTATGATCCTGCCAGTTCGCAGTCATTATTTTCAATATATCGCCAAACTTCCTACAAAATATTGGATATAATGCTGAAGTTTATCCAGCTGTCAACTACCGTATCTGATGATATAACAATACTAAATCGCAGACTGGTTAATAGAAATTATTGCTACTTCGTTAAGATAATTGCATTTTCTGTTGTCTGATGAACTAGACGAAAACAAGTTTGTGTGGAATAGAAAGATTTCTTCAGAAGGTTTTCTCTTCAGCTAATTGTTGTCAATTATTTTATTCGACGTTTAATACAGCTGAATGTTTAGACGAATATATTTAGTCACGGCAACATAGGCGTTATTTCTCGTTATTGAGTTACTCCATTTTATCTGTTCCCCATTTAGTTACACGGACTGAAATTTTTGTTTACACAGTAATACCACTATGACACTTTTTATATTTTATTTCACGAACGCATAAAAAGAGAAGCTCAGTTTGCCATTAATTAGCAACCAGATGGAAATTCAGTAACGTGAAATATTATTTCTGTCACAACGGAAAATATTGTTTGAACATTTAGCTGCACTAAAACTTAATTACTATATTAATTGCGAACAATTGACGGACTAGAAGCCTCCTACAGCAACTTCACTGCTCCTACGACTGAGTCTTTCATCTGCTTCGTATTCTTATCAGGCAACGGGAAATTCAGTTGTAGTTACGAAATTTTTCTTCCGGCGTGTTGATTGACTGCTGACATCCCGTATGTAGCATCGACAAGTCCCCATAATGAGACCATTAACATGAGTGCGTCTTACCGCTGATTGATCCACAAGATAATGAGCTTGATGAAGAGCAGCGAAGACGCCATCGCGCTGCTCAATCCGTCCATAAATTCGGAGAAGTCATCCATATCACTGTTTACGACCACGTAACCGTACTGAAAGACTTGAGCCGTGCTCAACGCGATGATCCAGTACGATCGGGACACCACAGTCGACGGCAAATATGGCCAGACACCGTAAAAATGAAGCCCGAACTTCACTATCCGACTAAACGTGCTCGTCCTCATCCCCTTTTTGTCGAAGACGTGTCAAGCTTGAGAATACGAGGCGATCGAGTGATTCCACTCATACTAAAATCTCTCTGCTAGGTCGACATCTGAACACACACTCGTGGGGCATCGACCATTCGCCGCCCATTATTAAATATCACCGCCTACAAAGTTTCAACTACACGCAACTATAATTTCACATCAAGTTCGACGAAAGCTTCCCGATTGAAAAGTAAGCGCCTCTACCCATCGTCGAACTTCCGTCTGCGATGTCATTGTACGCCCATATTAAAAATGCAATTGGTAAAGTAAAACTCTACTAGAAGGAACGTAGCTTCTGCGAATCGTCGGCTTCATGTGTCACCCCCGTTCGAACTTGTACAACCGCGAACTTGTGAGTGAGAAGTTTCGCTGCCGAAGGGTGCATGTTTCAATGAAAAGAAGCGAGGACGTGTCTCGATATTATCGGACATTGCTTATTGCGACGAGAAGGACCTCCAAGAGGTTACAATTCAAAATGTCGTAAGCTGGCGAGGAAGATACTTGTGAAGCGGATTGAACGGTTCACCAGTGACAATGGCGAGTCGCCAGGAGAAGTGAATCTCGACGGGGCGATTCTTCTTCATAATCGAGGCAAGTGTCTTATAATATTATTATTTGCTTTCGGGAACGACTGATTCGTTTAGTTAGGTCACTAAAGTGTTTGATCACTCTGTTATATCAATCATTGTTATATCAAAGTGAGGCAATCAGAACAGCTTTAACACTAGATTGCATAGGTTAATTATTTTGACTAACACTTTAAATAATCACATTGGAAAACAGAGGGCCAATCATTTTATATTGGTCCTTTATTTTTTACTGTAATTGTTCTTTAATCTCAGAGCACTTTGTGCCATTTTTGTACTTTAAATACTTATTTGTTGTGATTTAAAAAAAAGTTCGTAATTGATATTACTTTATTTTTCTTCTGAATAATAATTACTAAAAATGTTAAAGTAGATTGCACACGAGTGAACAATCGATGGAGTAAAAATGACATCACATTGGCAATAATGGACTACTAGTATTAGCAATCTAGAGTCGATGCTGACGCCTCGCTTGCTGTTTGCGTTTTGCGGATACAATCTTTGTCGCGTGCGTCGTCTCTTGTCACGCCTGCATGAGAAAATTGTTATTATTATTATATTTGCGGTCTTGTACTCATGTATTACAAATAAGAGAAATTCACGAGTTGTTTCCATAAACGGTACCCTGGTTTGTTTGCACGCGCGTGCTCGACGAGAAATCCCGTTATATCTTTGAATGAGAAAATTGCTAAACACGTAAACTGCTAGTGGCTGGTAGTAAAAGTATCGTGTTTTGCACACGAACGATATTACCGACGTACAAAGTACGTGGAGATTTCATGAGTCTATCGCGTGTAACACCGGGTTACCTGTATGATCGCTGGGTCTCTCGCGATTCACCTTCGCGGAAAATTCGGAGGGAAAGGAGAAACGGTCTACTTCGAGGTGCCGAACATAGGCCGTTCGCCGAGCTTTTCTATTGCCAGATATGCAAAGTTGAATGAAGGTGCACGTGCAATAATAATCTTGATAATCGCAGTCAAAAATTGGAAAAATACGAGGGATATCGTCCCCCATCTCTGTCGTATTGTCGACCATGACCGTGGATGCTATCGCATGCCCGTTTTAAAAATGCAACTGACTCGAAAGCGCATCTGCCATGAACTCGCCTGCGTGTCTAGCCGCGGCGCCAGGTAGAAAAGTTTCGTTGTTTGTTGAGGAAGAATCGCGAAGAAAAATCGAGGGGAACGTATTGCGCGAATTCGTCTCGATGACACGTCCGCGAAAAGATTATAGTTTCAAGAAAGTAGGGAGCACGACTGCAAAGAAGACGGTGTGCCTAGCTGCATAATATGTAGGGAGAACGAGAATAAAGTTTTTCACTGATCCGAGCAGGACGAAATGAGCACGTCGATGCACTGCTTTCATGTTATCTCTTTGAACTGAGGCAGTTTTTTTATGAAATAACGTAGTTGTAAATAAGATCACACAGTGAGAATCGAATGTAATTATGGAACGATGCACACGATACGACATGTTGGTTAATAAAACGGATAAAATATAAATATCTCAATTGCGGGGTTGCACTCAGGTACCATGGAAAGGTAATTTGCGACTCGAGGACACAGAAACAATATATTAAGAGAAAGTAAAATTGCAAAAGTTCCTTCCAAGAAACTGCAGATGATTCTTTAATTGTGAATGTACAATCAAAAGCAAAAATTACGTATAAAATATTTAGATTTGTCATCGCGTGTAATGTTAATATCATTTTAAGTCACAATAATAAGTCTAACAAAATAGCAATCTTCGTGCAGCTTCCATGTTCCAGCTTTGAGCTGATTATCATGATGTACCTTTTTTGCAAGAGATAAAACGAGTAATGTTTAGCGTACCTTGGTAGTGAAAAATTAATTGCGTAAAGACTCGTCGAAGAACAAACTTTTTATACAATATCCTTACGCTAATAAATTCTATTGCTCGCACTCTTACGTCGTACTAATATAATATATTACAGCATCGTGAATGTATCATCCATTTTTAGTACATTGCAATAAGCACCGACATGTACGATACTGATGTCTTCAGAACCTACAATGTTATTTATCTTGTCAAATAACTAGACAATATTTTGGTCTCATGATAAAACGGCACATTTTTCCGCTTTTGATATCAATTGCAGTTTTGAACACGTTTACTATCACGGTTTGTTTGGGCAATTTCGTGTACAGATTACATTGTATGTGCTTTTATGTAATTGTATAAGACAGGTTCAATTTATTTATGTAGATGTAGCAAAAAAATTGTTCGTCACTGTCACATATATGTGATGTCAGTAGCGTACATGTTTAGTGGAATTAGAAATCTGAGTAAAGCTGAGCTTGAAGTAGGAGATTGATATGTCACACGTATATGACGCTTGTAGCGAATATATTAAAGTTTAAAAACGTGTGGAAAGTTGCATTATTCTTTATTGAAAATTTTTATTTCCTATATCTTTTTTTATTCGAGAAAAAACTGCATTTTTTAGACCAAAAGGCCCTTTTAATAGCTTGTAAAAAAATATACGACTGATATGGCGAAATAGTCAAGTACGAATTTGCGCATAGACGTGTATACACAGACTGTGGGCTTCACAAGAAGTAGTAAAGTACTTGATTAGTAAAAGATGTTCTGATTACAGCCATTCAATTGTGGTCTAGCTTGGATCCTACTGGAGAAAATTAGGTTAACAGAATAACATATTTTTATATCCACATATTTTTGTATCTTTGGATCGATATCAAAATCAATATCAACAATCTGAACTCAGATTGGAACTAGATAAGGTAAACGTATCGAATTATGCCACTCTAAGTGTTACGTCTAGATATTACGTCCTGGTAGAGAACGCAACACGACGTAAGGTCTCGATCGTACTAGCAAGTCGAGTTACGAGTCAACGACCAGAAGGATCGCTTTACGCGTGTACCGACGTACGACGAGTGGTCCTTTTTCGATCAGAGAACTGAATCTCTTTATCGCGGACGGACCGAGAGCGGATAAGAGAAATGAAGGGGGAAAAGGGAAGGATTCGAAAAGAAATTGTGATATAATTTGAATTGGAATTTAGATAATTCTTAACGATTACATTTATTTTCCTCGCGGGGTTGTTACAATTTTTATTAATTACTAGCACGGAGACAAAGTACGCGCGTGTGTGTGTGTTTGTGTGTGTGTGTGTGTGTGGACTTCTGGGTGAGGGTGAGCACTAATGTTCAGGATCATTGGGAGGTAAAGAGAGTGAAAAGTTCTAGGAGTCTAGGAAGGAACCTGTGCGTAATCCGGGACAAATACTGTACGCGAGCTACCCGGAGTTAAAGTTTTGATATTGAAGAAAACGAGTAACAAACTATAACTTACTGTTGATGTGCGATTTGGAGGAGAGAGTAACTGTTGCTGGATTTCTCAGTTGGGTCCCTTTCGATCCTCGTCTGGATAGAACCTGGTGTTTGTGTGTGAGGGTTGTGGACGATCGCACGATGAATACAGCAATAAGCACAGAGAGTTGAGTAGCTGAACCCTTAGGGTACTTGGATTTTTCCTCAGTGGTAGTAGAAGCACAAGAGTAAGAGAAGTCCAAGAGAAGTGACGTCCAAGAGAAGTGAGGTAAAAAGAGCGTAAGAAGAGGCCGAGGTGCGCGGAGTCGCGCTTATATACGATATTAACTGGAAATGGTTTGGTAGGGAAGATGTGGAAATTTGGGGGTTCCTAGGTTGTTGGATTCGTCAGAGAAAATGGTATGGGGGACTGCTGTATCCAGTAGTAAGTAAGTAGACAGTGTTAAGGAAATCTTCTTGGCTGGGGTTGTGGGTGGAGAAAATCATACGTTTCAAAAGAGAAGGTTATTGGAGGATTTTTAAGGTGGTGAGGGAATCAGCAGATGAGGCGGAACCGAACAACGTAAGTTGGAAAATGTAACGGACATAATTTTTTGTTATCCAGCGGTTCCTTTGATCCCAAGGATAAGGTCCGGTGAAGTTTACTTTGCGGATTAAGGAGTTTTAGTGCTGTATTTTCCAGGGTTATTTCGGAATTTTAGTCGGAATTTTTATTGGGGAAAGACAAAAAAAAAGGTCTTACGATTCGGAATAGTTTGTTGTTTCCTGACAGAGGAGGCAAAGATAGAGTGCATGACTCATGTCTGCACAGGACGTAACACTAAGCAAAGACTAATTTTTAAGAGATTATTAAAAAAAAATAAATTGATACTAAGTAAGATTATAAATTTTATCTAATATTAATATTGTAAATTAGCAAGAAAACATAAAAAAGTTAAAACTAAACAAAATTATTTATATGTACGTAAGAATTAAGTGAACTGCAAATGTCCCGAATTACGCCTACTGAAATTGTTGGATGTCCCGATTTACGCCATTAGTATGTCCCAAATGACGCCACCTTACCTAATTTGTTTTCAGTATAGATAATTATAGTAAAGGAAATGACATTTTTACACATGTTATCTATTCAAATATATATTTATTAATTCAAAATAATAAACATCTTAACTCCTACTAATTTATTTTAAAATGTTATTGCATATCTATCGCGATTTTGTGTACATAATGCTTTTTACGTGCACATAAATCCGCCATCTCTATTATATTATGCAAAAACCATATAATTATATAATATTTTACTATTTTATGATCTTTTAATTCAGTTCAATTCATATTAATCATACGAAACTAAAATATTACAACCCAAAAATATCTCATTTTATCATTCTACAGATCATATTATTATAGTAGACACTTAACAAGCTCGTAGATAATCAAAAGTGACGGATTTTCAATATAAGCTTTTGAAACTGTCTTTCAAAATTACATTATATTTTTATATACTTATTTTGACAGAGCCATTCGATATATCTTCACGATTGCTTTCTTTGATACTTTTAATCAGCTGTGTTTTAATACGCGCACAAAACAAGTTCGGGTGGCGCTATTTGAGTCAGTGGCGTTATTCGATACTTTTATCTTAGTTGAACGATTGCCGTGACAATAAGGAGTCGACGAAGAGAAGGACAGTCACATACAAGCTACCGAGCCGAGCTCACGTTTCTGACAAGAGAGTTTGCAAGATTGTAAAATACGAGTGAAGGAGAATGACGGTTATAATTAAACGTTTTAATTTTGTATATACGCTTATTTAACGCGTGGAATCAGATTCGGGCGCAGGAGACGCAACTATATATACATTATATATTGTTATACACTATGTACAGGGTGCGGCGCCAAAATCCGGAAAAATTATACATTTTTTCCAAACATATTTTTTATTGCAAAAACGAAAAGGTTTACAAAACTTTTTTAACCACATTGTTTGTAAGGCCATAAAGAACACATTTACTCAATATATCCCTCGCTTGCTTGAATGACCGCCTCCATTCTCGGTCTGAAGCGTGCGCAGGCGCGCTTTAATGTGTCATGGTTCATATCAGTGAATGTCGCTTCAATAGCGGGTCTCAATGATGCGACGTTTGGATGTCTGGACTTGTTCGTGACCCTTTCAACTACGCTCCATACATAGAAGTCCAAAGGATTCAAATCTGGGCTGTTGGGAGGCCAGAATTCTTTCGACCAAAACATGTCGACGTTGTCCGACAACCAATTTTGCACCAAATGACTTGTGTGGGCGGGCGCACCTTCCTGCTGGAAAACATATGGCTTTCCAGACGACACAGTTTCCATCCACGGCTTCATTACATTTGTCAGAACACGCAACTTCTTTTATGACATTTTCCCCTTTGTTAAAGAAATGCGGTGGCATGACATCACCCTCACTGGATGATGTTGGAAAACCTTTGTTGAACTTCTCCGACTCATTGTACTTTGCGATAACATCATACACAGTCGATCTCGGGTACCCGAAGAACCGAATGATTTCTGTCGCCGAGCGCTCAGCGCGAACACTTTCGATAATCGCGGCTCTTCGGTTATACTCCGCACTTGGTTTCAACATTGCGACTGTTTCGAGGTTATGATAGTTTAATACATGAGTCAAGCTATTTGAACGCTAATCGCGACATCTATCAGTGGTATAGAACGGCGAGAATTTCAAATTTTGTCCGGATTTTGGCGCCGCACATCCTGTATAACGACATAACAAGATAGCCTAGCGGAAGCAGAATATAGCTGGCCTTTAATCATATCTTCAATCTCTCGTTAGATGACTCGGTCTATGGACTATGTCTATAGTTATAGATCTATAGTTATGACCTTACGTTAGTGAAACATTCCAAAGAGAACTCCATGATCCTCCCATACGTGATCGTCAACCGTTTTTGCGATCTCATAATGATGAACATCATGATCCGACTTTTCTTCACCGAAACATCATACCACAGAGAATTATAGGCTGCGTCTCCGATCATTCTGCCCTGAAAGAAAATTTCCACAAGTTTGTGTATCATTAAAATCGGTGAAAACGCTAACCTTGGCGCTCAAATACTCGCCGGCGAAGCAGTATACGAATACGTCCAAGTTCATTGTGACATAAAACATTAAGGATTTCACCAAAATCGCCGCGGCGTTGGGTTCACCGAGCGACTGCAACATTTATAAGAGCGGTTTGATATTGTTCAATACGAATGCAACATGATGTTTCTTCAATATGAAGAATATACTCGCTAAAGAATAAACTCGCTAAAGGAAAGATTCCTTTAGAAGGTTTCCTCTTCAGCTAACTGTTGTCATCTATCATATTCGAGGTTTAATACAGCTAAATGTTTAGACGAATATATTTAAAGACGGCAACATATACGTTATTTCTCGTTACTGAGTTACTCCATTTTACCTGTTCTCCATTCAGTTACACGAATTGAAATTTTTGTTTATATAGTAATACCTCTACGATACTTTTTATACTTTATTTCACGAACACATGAAAAAGAAAATATCAGTTTGCAATTAATTAGCTATTAATTTGCAATTAATTAATTTCCAAATGGAAATTCGGTAATGTGAAATATTATTTCTGTTACAACGGAAAACATTGTTTGAACAGTTGCATTAATACTTGATTACTGAACAGCGGACTGAACAGTTGACTGAATAGAAACCTTTTACAGAAAATTTGCTGTTCCCACGACTGAGTCTTTCTGTCCTCTATATTCTTATCAGGCAACGGGAAATTCAGTTATACTATTGGAATTATTTTTTTCCGCGTGTTGATTGACTGTTGACATCTCCTATGTAGCATCGACAATTCCCCATGGGATACAGCGTGGTAAGTTGAATAGCGGAGGAATTTGGATAATATTAAGCGTTTACGACAATTTCAGAAAAATATAATATATAACATAAAAATGTGAATATATAGCATGCCAACCTCAAATATAAAATAAGGCGTCTTATATTTTTCTGAAATTGTCGCATACGCTTAATATTATCCAAATTCCCCCGCTATTTAATTTACCCCGCTGTATCCTAATGATATTATTAACATGAGTTCGTCTTACCGTTGGTTGATCCACAAGAGACCGAGCTTGATGAAGAGCAACGAAGACGCCATCGCGCTGCCCAATCCGTCCATAAACTCGGAGAAGTTGTCTGTATCACTGTTCACGACCACGTAGTTGTACTGAAAGACTTGAGCCGTGCTCAACGCCATGATCCAGTATAATCGCCACATCACAGTTGACTTCAAGTATGGCCAGATACCGTAAAAATGAAGTCCGACTTTTACTATCTGACTGAGCGTGCCCTTCCGCATCCTCTTTTTGTCGAAAACGCGTGAAACCTGAAGGTATGAATCGATCGAGCGATTCCACTCATACTGAAATCCCTCCGCTAGGTCGACAGTTGAACGCACACCCGTGGCATCGACCATTAGCCATTCAAATCGCCACCCGTTGTTAAATATTACTGATAACCGCCTGCGAAGTTTCAACTTCACGCAACTGTAATTTCACCTCGTGCTCGACGATAGCTTTCCGATTGAAATATAAGCGCGCACTTGCTTTATCGTCGAACTTCCGCTTACGATGTCATTGTACGCCCATTTTAAAAATGCAATGGGGAAGGTAAAATTCCTCGAAGAGAGACGTGGTTTCCACGAACCGCCGGCGGTTCGTGTGTCATCCCCGTTCGTCCACCATGTAGAACCGCAAACTCGTGAGTGAGAAGTTTTGCTGCCGAAGGGTGCGTATTTCAATGGAAAAGAGCGAAGACATGTTTCGGAATTATCAGACATTGCTTATTGTGACGGGGAGGGGGCTTCCAGGAACTCACATTTCAAAATGGCGTAAGCCGGCGAGGAAGATGCGTGTGAAGCGAATTGAACGGTTCGCCGATGACAGTGGCAGGTCGCCAGAAGAAGTAAATCTCGATGGACGATTTTTCTTCTTAATCTGGCAAATGTCTCATAATATTATTTGTTTTCGGGAACGACTAATTTTTTTAGTTAGGTCATTGGCGTGTTTAATCATTGTTATATCAATTATTGTTATATATCAAAGTGGAGCAATCATAGCAGCTTTAACGCTAGATTACACATGTTAGTCATTTTTATCTGTACTTTGAATAATCGCTTGTTGTGATTTAATAAAAAATGTTTGTAATCAGCATTATTTTATTTTTCTTTTGTGTGAAGGAAACGATTAAAGATTTTGAGACAAACTACAAGTAAAAAAGTAATTAAGAGCATCGAGATAAGTCCACTTTGACAATAAGTCTGTTCTTTTTAGCTGAACTGCCTCAATTAGTGCAGACTGGTGCAATAAGTTAAAGTGAAACAAAATTTGTCTTGCTTTAACTTATTGTACTAGTGTGCACCAGTTCAGACAGTTCAGCTAAATAGAATAGATCTAATAACGAACTACCAGTATTAGCAATTTAGAGTTAATGTTGACCTTGTTTGGTGTTTGCGTTTTGCGGCTGCCGGCAATGTAATCGACATTTGTTGTCACGCGCGCACGAGAAAATTATATTACTATAATTATATAACTATTAATTTAGTAATTATATTACTGTTACATTTGCGACCTCTCTCTTCTCTTGTGCTTATGTACTGCAAGCCAGAGAAATGATCGCGAGTCGATGTTTCTGTACACGATACCCTTTCTTGTTCGCACGCGCGTAGTATTTGACGAGAAATCCCGTCGTGTCTCTGAATAGGAAAATTGCTAATCGCTTAAACTGCTAGTGGCTAGTAGTAAAGGTATTATATCCTGCACGTGGATGATATTATCGGCGCATAAAATATATGGAAACTTCATGAGTTCATCGCATGTAGCATCGGTTTACCTGTATGACGCTGAGTTTCTTACTATTCACGTTCGTGGAAAATTCAAACGAAAAGGAAACACGACTACTTCGTGATGCCGAACATCGGCCGTTCGCTGAGCTTTTTTATAGCTAGGTACGCGAAGTTTAACGAAATTGGGATCACACATGCAACGATAATCTCGACAATCGTAGGCTAGGATTTGAAAAGTATAAGGGACTTTGTCCCCCATTCCTGTCCTGTTCCCGACCATGGCCAATGTTACCACGTGTCCATTTAAAAAATGCAACAAGCAGTGACTTGAAAGTGCAGCTTCTATGAACTCGCCCGCGTGTCTGGCCGCGACGTGAAGTGGAAAAGTTCTATTGTTCGTTGAGGGAGGATCGCGAAAGAAAGACGAGGGAAACATACTGCGCAAATTCGTCTCGATGAAACGATTATAGTTTTGCTAGTCTCAAGAAAGTAGCGAACATAGTCGCAAAGAAGACGGTATTCTTAGTTGCACAACATGTGGAGAAAAACGAAAATAAAGTTTCACTGATACGAGCAGCCATTCTACGTAATCGAAGTGAGTATTTCAGAGTAGCACTGCTCTTACATTGTTTCTTTGAATCGAAACGATTTTTTTATGAAAATTTTATGATATGTCGTGAACAAAATCATTACGATGAGAGAACATCGAACGTAATTATGGGACAATGCACGCATTACGACATGTTAGTTGATGAAGAGTGAGAGCGTACGCCAGATGCGAAGTTGTGCGCAGCAACCATGAAAAAGTAATTCGCGACACGAAGACACTACTGCGAAGTACTAAGAGAAAACGAAATTGCAAAAGTTTTGCCAGCGCTGCAAAATGCTCTTTCACCGTAGATGAGTAAATGGAAGCTGCGAAAAAAATTGTAAAAATAAAAGATGCAAAGTTATATTCGTTGGCTTGTTAGTAATATTACCATAAATTAGATAAATTAAGTATTATCATAAACAAAATTTTTTTCATCATATACCTAAGCCTACTTCTACCATTTTTCAAACAACCACATAAGATTTCGCGATCTTAATGAAAGATTGACGAAGCAGAACGCACAATGTTGTGGGATGAGATCTTGTACTTATCGAGGCCAATAGCATCGCATGTTCTGGTTCGTCAAACTTTTTTCAGTAATATTCCAAAATTTTACATGATTATTTAAAAAATAGTAGAAAACTAAAATAGTTTAAAAATAGTAGAGAATAGTAGTTGTTCAGATTGATGTATCCTATCTACACACCGTGGCTCTATAATGAATTGTCGGACTCTGTATGTATTTCTAAACCTATAACGCGAAAATCTTCTGCTATGTAATTTTCATTATGATTTCTTAGTTTCTAACAATTGTGAGGTACTTTTCTAACGTAAAAAATGTGCAAATTTTATTATAAAAAAATAAATTTAATTATACTGTATAAAAAATTATAAAAAATAGCAGATTTAACTATAAATTACACGTGAGAAAAATTAAACTGAGCCGTGGCTTGGAAAAAATTAATATATTTTTACATTGCTACTTTCACTACTCCATTATACAATATTTCCACAATGTTATAGTAATAGCTGGTGTACTAATCGAGCTTTCACCTATCTTCAGTACATCGCTAATAACACCGATATATATGACGCCGATGCCTTCACAACCTGTAATATTACTGTTTGTCATTATGTTGTGCATAAATGTGTGTAATTATAAATGTCAGTATAAAAAGTGCATGTGAATATTATCGCGACGTGAGCATCGACATGATGTGCTTTGCGGACGAATCGCATACAGCGAGATATTTGATATCTCTGGGACGTCTCCAGAATGTATTTTGGACATTTGTACGGGATCTTACGCTGGTGAAACGTTCCAAAGATAGATCCACGATCTTGCCGCTCGTGATTGTCAGTCGCTTTTGCGCTCTCAGTATGACAAACAATATCGTGCGGCTATTTTTGATCGAAGTGTTGTACCAGAGAGAATCGTACGCCGCATTCCCAATCTTTTTACTCTAAAAAACGAATTAAATAAGATCGATGGATCACTGAAGTCGTCAGAGACGCTAACCTTGGCGCTCAGATACTCCCCGGCGAAGCAATATATGAAGACCTCGAAATTCATCGTGATGTAGAACAACACAGACTTCACCAGGATCGCTCCACCATTCGGCGTGCCGATGGACTGCGATTTGCATGCTTTGGTGATTCAGTAGGAATTAGTTGTATCGGTAATTAACCCATTTGCATCGGAAACGAATATATACGTTCATTTCGCAAGGCCACTATCACGCCTCTGCGTGCAGTCAAGGTTAGCTTGAAAGTTCGAGATTGTAGTGCGAAATGATAGATTGAATTCTTAACGTTAGTCGTGTTATAATTAAACGTTCCTCACTTAGCTTTTCAAATATGTTTTCGTTATTATCGCGCAAGATACCACCAAAGTAACAAAATTAATAATACACCAAAGTAATAAAAAATCCACGTGGCCATTTACAAAGCAATAGAGGATTTTTTGTTCAGTTTGATCTAATGTACAAATACATTATTCATCGATATTCTTTAATTAATAACTCAAGATTCTACGTTATTTGCGAAATGATACAGAAATGTTATGTTCAATTTTACCAGTTCAATCTGGGACAATGGGTATGTCACGATTGTCAGATACCCTATATATTAAATATAAATACCGTCTCTATTTTATTTATTATTATATTGTATTAAGGATAAGTAATTTTTTATTTTTTATTTTGATTGTATATCTTGAAAATCTTTTTTTCATGTGAAATAGGAATTTGTGTCAACTAGTGAACGATGTTAGAATTTCAAGAATATTTATTGTAGTCTTAAGATACAATGTGATATGGACATATTTTTCAAAGCTCCAAATGATGCAAATGGGTCAACGTACGCGGAGAAAACAGTATAATTGATTCACATATAAATGTGACTCTAATATTGATTCTAATTGGCACAACCAGATTTATGTGTGGAGCAATGTACCATACTGTTTCTTCCGTACAGCATTCCTCCGATGCATTTATGATGCAAGTTCATCTATTTGATGAATTTCTAAACGAATGCTCAAAATATTTATTAAATATTCAGTGTTTGTTTTCGGTCACGTTACTTACGGTAACGATAATGAATCCTAAACAGCATGTGATCAGCGTGTCCGACAACAATATCATCAATGCGATATATGTATAAACATCCTCGACGTTGTCCGAAAATTTGATGATCCGCTGGTGTTTCGCGATTATTGAGCGCATCGTGATCTTGCCTGTTGATTGCGACGTAGTCTCATTTGTCGATAGCGACGCATCTCTGGAGAATAGTTTCGTGAGCCATTCACAAAGCATGTCGATCTGACCGCAGTCATGAAGTATCTAAAGTTTACAGATTGATGATTAATGAGATTGATTGATTGATCTTCTTTTCAAGAAGATAGAAAAAAAATTACTTCTCGGGTTTGTTGGACAAATTATTTTAGGAAGGTATGGATTATTCGCTGTTTATGAGCGAGAGTTCCGCGCGAGATAATCCAAACTCACCAGAGTGACGAGGAGCGAATTGATAACGGTGATGCCGCAGGCGACCAGCATCAAGTGGACAAACTGCACGACCGTAATGCCTATGTAAATCGAGTTCGTGCTAATATTGAACGGAAAATCCATCTTGAGAATCAGCTCCCGCGCGTACGGTTCCCACCTATCGGGATCACCCGCGTTGGCGGCGAGCACTCCATAAGTGTAGAAAAATACGGCGACCACTTGCAGGCCGATGATCGACCTCGAACTGCGATGTGCGAGATGCGCATTGCTCGTCATTAGGTGTGAACCGAAGTTCGAGATGTAATCCTGCCAGTCGGCAGCCATCATTTGTAATATCTCGTGAAATGTTCTACGGAGAAGAACAGGATTCACCCCGCTCGTGTTAGCATTTGTTTAACTCTCAACAAGCATCGTGTCACAAGATCAACTACGAATTTGATTTCAGAATGTTTCAGCCACAACTCGTAATAGATCAGGCACGCGAGGAAAGCTCGGCCCGATTTCTCAGTCAAATTTCAGCTGATTACATTTAGTGAAGACAGATTAACGATCAACTGAGTAATCACTGTCGTTGGCCATGATCCTTCGACAACATTTTGACAGCGGATTATTATCAGTCGCCTGCATTAGATCTGCATGCGACATTATCTATTGAAAATTGAATCGAACTTCTCGGCTAACTTAATATCAAGATCAATGATTATTCTAAGGTCTTTAGATTTCATGAGAAATGTTATCAGAGTATGAGAGCTACCGAAGATTGTTCATTACTAATGTATTACTATATTACTATACATTGCCATTGTGCAACAGAAAAATTTTTGATATTACTTTTTAATATATTAAACATTATTAAAGTACTAAATTTTTTGTAATATTAATTTTAATATTGTATTTTAATCTATTTCTTGGCAAATTAAAATGTTGCGAAAAATATTGTCTCAGCTAGAGGAGGCAATATTTTAATATATTTATATATTTAATAATATTACATATATATATGTATATATAAGTTGTTTGGTAACTTCAGCGAGTCCAAGTGACGAGATCGTGACACGATTTGCGTGCTGCCTCGTGATTCAACGACTTACTTTTGATTTCCCCACAATATAGCGAGTTTGATGAATAACAACGAGGAGGCCATGGCGCTGCTCACTCCGTCCATGTATTCGGAGAAGTTATCCGTATCGATGTTCACGATCACGTAGCGGTATTGAAAGATCTGAGCTGTGCTAAGTGCCGTGATCCAATATAATCGAAATAAGATGGTGGTCGATAGGTACGGCCGGATGCCGTAAAAATGAAGCCCGATTTTCACTGCGTGATTGAGCGTACTCTTCTCCATCATTCTTTTCGAACGAACCTCCTCGCGAACGATGAACAACGCAGGTCGACAGTCCAACCGAAAGTAGTCGCGTGTCATCGGTCATTGACCATTGAAATTACTGCTCGTTAAATATTCTCAGTGCATCGCTTACGAAACTACAGCTATGTGTTATAGTAATTTCAGACTCGATGATAGCTTCCGCGATTGGAAATTAGGGGCCACCTCACATTAGGGGCTCCTGCACTGGCGATGCATGTAAATGCGTGCTTTCTTAAAAAATGCAACGAAGCAAGTAATATCGCAAGAGAAGCGCACCTGTCACGAGGTGTTCGCTGCGCGCGCTTAAAAAACTTTCCCCGCCGCCGAGGGGAATGGCGTCGCGAAGGTATCGCGAGGGTGTCGCGACGGTGCCATGAGGGCGTGAGGTGAAGGTATATTGCGATGGAAAGAGCCAGGGTGAAAATCGTAGTACATATCCCAGTAGATATCGCGGATATCCACGAGGAGAATCGAACAGAAATGCAACAAAGCAAGTAATATCGCAAGAGGAGCGCGTCTGTCATGAGGTTCGCCGTGCGCGTGCTTGAAAAACTTTTCCCGCCGCCGAGGGGAACGAAGGCGTCGCGAAGGTATCGCGAGGGTGTCGCGAGGGTGCCATGAGGGCGTGAGGCGAAGGTGTATCGCGATGGAAAGAGCCAGAGTGAAGATCGTAGTATATATCGCAGTAGATATCGTACGAGTATCCGCGAGGAGGATCGAACAGTCGGCCGATGACGGTGCAGGCGAGCACAGTGCGCAGGATGGAGAGGTGAATCTCGACGATTCTTCTTCTATACTTCAGTAGAGCCAAGGCGGCCGTGTGACACTTGGTAATGTATCTTCTTGTGTAGGAAGAGTGATTCTTTTTTATTTTATATTGCGTTAGCATGTTTTTGACAATGTACATCGGTCGGGAGAATTCACGCGATACTTACGGCCGTACAAATAGTCGATCTGCAATCAATGTCTCGCAGAGAGAAGCGTCGTCACATTTGCTCGTTCGCCCGCGCGGCTACATTTGGTGTGAAACCCCGTCGAGTCTCTGAATAGGAAATTCGCTAATCGTGTAATAAACGCTCGTAGACTGGTGGGTAGATATGAAGGCACTATACTCCGGCGCACGCGAAGATACACGAGCGGCGTACGTACAGCTGTATGTTAAGGTCTCAGTACATCGCGTGCAACACCGACACGTATGACGCCGAGGCTTTCACGATCTACAACATAATGGATGTAATTACGGACATCATACGCGAACATTGTGTGCCGCGGGAAGAATAAGTCTAGAAAATGTCAGTCGGTTGTATCGATAGCGTTACTCGTGATGAGAGCGAAAATGCGATCGCGAATACGAGATTCCTGTTAGTCTCACTCCTGTCTCATTACTTCTCATTACTTCGCTAAAGTCTTACACTGCTGAATTGCACTAACGAAAGGTCCACGAACTTGCCGACCGTGAGCGTCAAGTGTTTCTGCGATCTCAGAATCATCAGGAGGAGATCTCGATTCTGGTGCGGCTTCAGGTCGTACCAGAGCGACTCATACGCCGCGTCGCCGATCATTCTGCTCTGAGACACACGGCAAATTTTTCCCGTGAGACAGCCTGTCACATTTCACCGGCCAAAAGCTCGAAAACCCTACTGACTTTCCGTAAAAGTGAATCTTTTAATATGTTTTGTTGTGATTTACTGTTGTTGCTTAAGCTGTAAACATTAATCTTTGAAAAGCATACCAGTACTATCCCAAAGTTATTTCTTTTACAAAGTTCCTCTTTGCTTAATTTACATACTGCTTCTAAACTTTTGGCCGATAGCAATCAGTGCTAAAATAATCGCATTTTTTATTTTTATTTATTTTTTTTTTGGTAAATCTCAATTCAAATTTTTCTTGAAAACATTACCTCGAACGAATCTGTTACGTTCAGTACGATCAGTAGCAGGATAGTCGTCAATTTTTTTTCTTGACAAAAATGATAGCAGAATTTGTTTTTTTATAACAAAAAAAAACAGATACATTTGCGTCCCGAAGTTCAACAAGGGTATAATGTCGCGAACTTTTGTTAGCAATGACTGTTATATACTGACCTTTGTACTGAGATACTCGCCGACGAAGCAGAAAATAAACGCATCCAAGTTAATGACCACGTAAAACAATACGGACTTTATTAACGTCGACGACGTGTTCGGCAAACCGATAGACTGAAATTTTTAAGATGTGTTTTCATTCTGTGTATGTTTGAAAGAAGAAAAATTGCTTTTTTGGACATTTCGTGTACTCACGATAACGATTAGAAATCCCAGGCAGCAGATGATAAGAGTATTCGACACAAATTGTACAAGTGCGATGTTCGAGAAGAGAGCTTCGATACTTTGCGTGAAGGAGATGATCCTCTGGTGTCGGATGATCAACTTTTTCATGAGGCTCTTGGACACGCCGCTCTTGACATCCTTTTGCGTGATTTCACCTAGTTTTTGCCGCACTATGTCAATCTGCCCGCACACGTGGAGAACCTGAATGTGACGACACACGTGTCGTTTAATGTAACGTCTTTCTTAACAGAAACGAACGAGCACCTTCTTCGAGTGTTCGACATAGATGGATCTAGTCTTTCTTCTCACTTTTCCGCGTTCATATAAAAATCCTAAAAAAATTGAATAATAGGGTTTTGACATATATATCGACTAACAATCACTTTCCCTTCATTTTATTTATCCAATCGAATATCTACGAGAAAAGAAGAAAGAAAGAGAGAGAGAGAAGAAAGGAAAGTAGTATATTTATACATTTTTTGGTATATATAATCACATAAAGAAATAATTACTATAAATTATAATAAAAAAAAATTATTTTATAAATTAAATTCTATGATATTAATAACTATAGTCTTATATATGTTATCATTATCATTTTCATATTAAAGCAAATAAAATTAAGGTGAAAAATAACCATCATTTTAAGTTAAATCAACCATTTTTTTTCTCTCGGTGTAAAAAATTATTTTATAAATTAAATTCTATGATATTAATAATTATAGTCTTATATATATGTTATCATTATCATTTTCATATTAAAGCAAATAAAATTAAGGTGAAAAATAACCATCATTTTAAGTTAGATCAACCATTTTTTTTCTCTCGGTGTAAAAGCCTCTCTTTTTCGCGGAACTGTTTAATCCATTAAACACGATCTTCAGTGTCATATCGCAATTTTTTTGCAAGCGTAACTATTTTTCATTTCCTGACTATTTCCCGATCATTTCTAGGAAATGCTGATGAATCATCGACGAACATAGTCACGCTTACCAATGTCAGCAGTAAGGAATTTAGCACTCCCGCTATGCTAGCGGCGCTCGTCTGATGTACGAATTGCGTAACGAGTACAGCCGTGTACACGGATACACTCTCGACTCCGAAGGGCAACTCCATCTTGAGGAAGAGCTCCCGAGGGTCGGTCAGGTTGTCGTTTGCACGCAGCCTGATCAGGGTGCCGGACGCATAGAAGAACACCGACACCGCGTACGATCCGATTATCAAATTGGAGAATCGGCGGGAGATGTAAGCCATTTTAATCATGAAGTACTCGTCGGATACGTCGCGCTCTTTCCAGTCATCGACCACACGTGCTATGATCTCACCGAACAGACTATAACGAATCAGGGAACATCGATCGCTATTGGTCGCGTGAAGACACAACTATGACACTATGTCACAGGATATAAATGAATGTCTGAAGTTCATTGATGAACTTTGTTCATCAATGTACAGTAAAATAAGAAATTCGTGAGAGCGCAAATTCTCCAAGTTATTGCTACGGTTTAGGACTGATGGTGCGTCTATTACCCCGGTGAATTTATCAATAATGCAAATTCTCTAGCAATATTAACATTAATCGCACAAGTCATTATGACCAACAAGGAAATGAGAAGGGAGAAAAATGATACAAATATCAATGTAAAGTTTATTTAATTCTCATCTCCAATAAGTGCAAGCTCAGTGGTTGACTTGTTCCCCTTCCCTTGAACTAGCAAATAGAACTTCGCATTATTACATAACGATGCAATATTTCGCGAATTACACTCAACTACGTGAAGTATCGAGCGCTACGCGTCGCGATGAAGAAGCTTACCGAGTGTTGAAGGCGAGAATAATCAGCTTGATAAACAGCAAGCTGTAAGCCATAGTTGCACTTAATACATCCATGAGAAGCGACATATCGTCCACGTTGAAGTGCGCGATCAAATGTTGGTATTGAAAGGTCTGAAACACCGCCATCATGGCTATATAGAAGAATCTACGCAAGGTCGCATACGACGTGCCCGGCCATACACCGACCAAGCGAAATCCAAGCTCTATAGAACGGCACACGGTAGTCATCGAGCTCATTTCACCACTTTTGACCTTCGCTCGACTCTTCATAAGCAAATTCCACGACTCTATATTCTATGAACTTTAACCCGCTGGTCTACTGTGACTCTGCTTAACCCAACCACCGACTCTGAGTCTACATCACGGATAGAGCTGTAATCTAGCAAAGGACATTGATTCGTATCGCCCAGGTATATCAAACTAGATCGACGTGATTCTATCCGAATATTTATACTCCGCAGGAACTTCCACACAGTCACACAGAGAAGATGCTGGACTTCATAGCGCGATCTGTCAGTAGATCGGCACTGAAAGCTCCGAGTACAGCATGATCGATAGTCTCGCCTCGAAGTCGTCGTTGAATGCGCTCTCTCGAGAAGGCTCAATGAAACTGTGAAGCTCAATGGATTCAGCGCTCTTGCGACCCCACCACGACTATAGACGGCCAATAGAAATTTTTCATCGTGTATTCCCGTCGTTACCGCGTTATTCTTGTCACAATAGTCTCCGGTGAAAGATGCAAATCGATGATTGCGGTTGCAAAAAGCGGCAGGTTGCAAAAGACTGCCGCGGAGGGTGCATGCATGCGCCCTTGTCTACGCTCGATCGTCGGCTGGTATTCTCGTTAAAAATGCAAGGCAAAAGCGTACGACATTGCATCCATGTGTAAAATACGCTCGCGCATTTACAGGAGGACTGGAAGTTCAGCGCGGCAAGAGAAACACGAGGAAATTGTGAGACAAATTCATAAGGATGAACTAAGCGTGTGGGTGAAAGTTCGCCGATGAGAAGCATCGGAGAGAAGATCGAACGGAGCGCAAAAAGGACGTCCGTTCGTGAAACATTGCACGGCGATTCCATTAAATTATATCGACGCAGTTTTTACAGGAGATTGCCGTACGTTCGCGAAACCCCGAGATCAAGTAATAACGTCGTGAGACGTTATCTCTCTCTCTTTTGTAATAGTTGCAAATACACACGGAGAATATGTAGCGACCTCGATCACTCAGGATTATCGAAACAAGCATGCAACGCGAAAACATGAGACATTAATGTTTTGAATAATCTAGAGGAAAACGAAATTTTTTCACACTCTCCTTGTGAAGATATTCTGTGTGTGTCACTGAGACAAAAAACTATCACTGAATCTTTTATAAGATCTTAGCGAAATAAGGAAGGAAGATTAGCAACAAGAACCCCGAATTATTCACAAGACGATGCAATATTTCGCGAATTACACTCTACAACTACGTGAAATATTGAGCGCCACACGTCGCTCGAAGAAGCTTACTGAATGTTGAAGGCGGGAATAATCAGCTTGATATCAGCTTGACGACGAGGAGGAGAAAGGAGATAACGGTGCGCTTCTCAATTTGGCCACGAATGCAAATGGTTGCTCTTATAAACGTTCGTCATTGATTTGGACTGCGTTAAGCATAATGGAAAATACAGTCGTCAAGGATATGAAAGTCAACGTCAGTCAAATCTAGACAACTAAGCTTATATTGCATACTTGCTTTCGGAAATCATGAAAAATGTCTTGAGAATCGTGGGTACACCTTCAACTTCGTACATATTGAAATCTCTCTCATAGATCGAGATCGATAATCGAACTTCTTTTGTGCTCATCATCTTTCATGGACTGATCTCTACCCGCTGTATCACGGATGATATCACTGCTATGCGACTACTAGGAATTTCATGGGCAACAATGATTGCTTTGCTGCTGAAAAGCAGAGAGACGCTTCTTCCCTGCGTCGTCGAGCTTCTGATCACGATGCAAGCGTGCTGCGCTCGCTTTTAAAAATGCAACGAGCCAGATAAACTCGAGAAGGATCGCATCTTCCACGAACTACGTGCTCGCCGCGTGGTTGAAAAGTTGCCACCGAGGGGAGTAAGCTTTTTTTGTGTGGGGTCGCTAGGGAGGAAAGCGAAGACGTATTGTAGGAGTTTATTGCGATGGGAAAATTAGTACGAAGATTATAGTTCACATGTTGTGACTGCTCGCGAGGATAGTTCGCCGATAGAAGCACGGACGACAACGCAAGCCGAGGAGAAGTGAAGTTCAATGAGCAATTTTTCCTCACAATCGAGGCAAGTATTTCGTAACGTTATTTTTCTCTGTACAAGTTTTTAATACTAAACGTAGTCTCATGAAATGATTCATTCAATTGTTCAAGATACACGTGATAAAAGAAATAATATCGATAACTTTACGGTATCTTTTCTCTCTCTCTCTCTCTCTCTCTCTTTTCTTTTATATATATATATATACACATTTAATTTAAAGCTAATCAGAAGATTTTTATCGATTAAAGCGAATTCAAAATAAAAATTTTTATTTTATCAGAGATATATTTACGTTTAGATAAATATTTTTAAAAACTAATTATTGCGAACAAATATTTATCACGAGATTTCTTAAACCAAGCAAACGAGAAATTTTATCTTACGATTGACAAAGGTCACATTTTTGTGTCACTCGAAAATTTAATAATTTCCAGCCGACTTCGATAAATATATTCGTTCCTGAAAAGTATCCTTGAAATTTTCACTTTGTCGTGACAACGCGTAATTCTTTTCATCTCGACGTCGTCGGGTTCGATGTGAAGTACATCAATCGGAAGAAACAACGTTATATTTACGATTCTGTGCTTCTACGCTACAAGCCATGTAAAGCTATCGCGAATCGATGTTTCAGTAAACGATATCCCCGCTCGTTTACTCGCACATATGAAACCTCGTCGGCTCTCTGAGGAAACTCGCTAATCGTGTATACGGCTGGCGGCGGTGGTAGAAGCATGATATTCTTCCGCGCGGATGTGTAAGCTGTTCTGCGCGAAGTACGTTAAAACTTCAGTACATGGCGTGCAACACCGATACGTATGATGCCGAGGCTTTCACGATCTGCAACATGGTAAAAACACACACGACTCCATCCATAGTAATATCGTCGCGCGGCGAAGCGATTAGAAAATCGCCGAAAAGACGTTGCACATGCAAATTACGTTTACATGAGTCTTTTAACCGATTAATTTTTGTTATCTCCTTAAGATCTTACGTTGCCAAATTGCTTCAAGGAAAGATCCACAAACTTGCCGGCCGTGAGCTTTAGATGCTTCTGTGATCTTATGATCATGATTAAAATATCGCGATTCTGATTCGGCTTCAGATCATACCAGAGCGATTCGTACGCCGCGTCGCCGATCATTCCGCTCTGCAACAAACGCCACGATTTCGTCATGGATCAACAGATTTTGCACTTACTAGGACGATACACTCATAGTTCGATCTTATGTTCAAGATCGTCTTAAGTTCATCTCAAGAGTAGCTATAAGTAGTTCTCACAGCACCTTGCGATGAAGTTGAGACGATTTTAAATCCAAAGCCAGGTTGTACGAATTAGTATTCTGCGAATGTGTATCTATAATAAATACACTGACCTTCGAACTGAGATATTCCCCGACGAAACAAAATACAAACGCCTGCGCGCTCATCCCGATATAAAAAAATACAGACTTCACAAGCATCGTCGACCCATTCGGGAGATCGATGGACTGAAAATATGGAGATATTATGTCTCCCGATAGAAATGTCCGATATTTCAAACTACTCACGATCACGATGAGAAAGCCCAGGCAACAGATGATCAAAGTGTTCGATAAAAATTGTATTAGTGCGATGTTCGAGAACAGGGCCTCGATATTCTTCGCGAAGGAGATAACCCTCTGATGTCGAATAATCAACATTTTTACAATGATCTTGCTTGCATTTCGCTCGATATCCTGTTGCGTGATAGTGCCCAACTTTCGCCGGATTATGTCAATCTGTCCACACACATGCAGAACCTGAACGTCATAAGATGGTCTCCCTTTAATCGTAGATTAGTATAACGAAAGTGGATGAATTCTTTGAGAATTCAACGTTCATAAAAACCGAAAAATTGCTGTCTTCAAGTTACAATTTTATTGAGCAATCAACTCACGGAAAATAATGATTTTGTATATAATTAATTCTATATAATTACATTTGCACGTTTTATTTATACTTTATGTTTATGTAATATTATATTACACATCATATACTATATAATTATGTGTCCCTTAAACGAGATACATTAATGTATGTGATCATTAATATTTCTGTTAATTAGTCACAAAAACTTTCGGAGCAAATTGCTTCCCTAAAGCACCCGTTACTGCGTCGCATTGCAGAAACATACCGATGAATCAGCAGAACATTCGCGCTTACCAGAGTCAATAGCAAACTATCCAACACGCCCAAGATACTAGCGGCGCTCATCTGGTGAACGAACTGTGTAACGAGAACAGCTACGTAGACAGATTCTCTAGCAGTGTCGAAGGGCAGGTCCATCTTGAGGAAGAGCTCCCGATTGTCGGTCTGATTATCGTTCTTGCGCCACATGAGGAGGTTGCCGGTCGCGTAGGATAAAACCGACATCGCGTTGGAGAGGATTATCAGATTGGAGAAGCGACGAGCGGTATAAGCTGTTCTGGTCATCGCGCACTCGTCGGACGCATCGCGCTTTTTCCAGTCCTCGATCACGCACGCTATCATTTCATCGAGCTGACTATAACGAATTAATTTCGGAAGGTGTTGTTGGTGTTTATAGTGTGTGATAAGGGCACGGACTCTTTCGTGAAAATTGTCGAACTCTCGCGAATTCCCGACATTTGCTCGGGACGTGCGCTTCCAATCAAGAATATCGCGGGATCGAGGTCGCTTTCATCTCGCGAATCGCACTCAGCTCCGTGCCGAGAATACATAACAACGTGGGCGCTTACCGAGCGTTGACGGTGAGGATGATCAGCTTGAGGAACAGCAAGCTGTAAGCCATAGTCGCGCTCAGAACGTCCATGAGGAGCGAGAGGTCCTGCTTGCTGAAGTGAGCGATCAGGTAACGGTACTGAAAGATCTGAAACAACGCCATCAGAAATATGTAGGAGAATCTACGGGACATCGACGTGCCCGGCCATACGCCGACCAGGCGAAGGCCGAACTCCACGGAACGGCACACGGTACTCATCGGACTCATCGCTGGCTGACCGGTGGCATTCGTGTCACTCTTCATCAGGCCCGAGTAGGTGGATTCCGCAACTCGATGGCACCCGCACGGAGCTCTACCACTGATTAACACCGCTTAACTTGATCTTGCTTCTCTGTTTACATCGCAGACGCGGTCAAGAGCGGAGAGGGACATCGAGAGATTCACGTCAAATGGATTTATTTAACCCTGTCGGTGTGCACGACTTGACCCGAGTATCTTCTACTGGAACTGCAACACACACTCCGGCCGTTGTAGAAAGAGAGGAATGCAACTTCACGGTGTCATCGACTGAGCGACGAAATTGCCGACCACAGCCGGATCAATAGTCGATGACAGACCGCAGTGGAGACTTCGCACTTCGCCGAAGTCAGTCCACGGCTGATGTGGTTGACCAGGATGTCTCGGAGAAACTGCAAAATTCTAAGGATTCCTCGGTCGAGGGAACCCAACTCGACTGTGATCGACCAATGAGAATTATCTCGTCGCGTATTCTCGTGATATTTCTTCTTCATTGGCAAGTCGCGAATAACAAATGCGAACCGATAATTGCGACTGCAAAAAGAAGGAAAGCCACTGCCAGGAACAACAGCGATGCGCGCCCTCGTCTCTGCGCGTCGCTCGCGGCGTCATCCGTTATTTACGTTAAAAATGCAACGCGAGCGTATCGCTCGATGCGCGTGGGTGCATAATTTTGTTCGGAGAACAGTTAAAGATCCCATACGGCGGAGAGAAACGTAGAGTGGAAATTGTGAAGCATGAATTCATAAGGATAAGCCGAAGAAGTGGAGAGAGGTGAAGGTGCACGATGGCACAGGCAGGGACGTTGTGGAGGTTTAGCCAGAGCGAACAAAGACGATTTATCCATTGAATTTCAACGTAATCGTCGGGTCGATCGCGGTGTATTGATGTATTTTTTTACATGAGGTCACATACGTTCGCGGGAGAACTGCTACGTTTCTCATAATAGCTACAAATGTACATTGCATCTGCGATTATTCATGCTCTTCAAGACATCGCATGAAGCACGGACACGTAGGACGCGGACGCCTTGATAATCTGGAAAAGAAATATATTTCAGCTGATATATCTTTCTGTGAGAAATTTGCGGAAACGTCGCGTGTAACTTTGGTAAATCTAATTTAGAAGCTCAATCAAACAGCGGGTAAAAGCACACTTTTCATTTGTATTTTTGTGAAAGAAAAGATATTATCTCTCTGCTTCGAATTTATGAATCGGTCCTCGAAGTAGCAATGGTATTAAAACGATTCACTCTGAGAGCGAGAAGCAATTTTTATCAAAAGACAACGGGAGTAAGTCTTGAAATATATTTTACTGTAGTGAAACGCTCCAACGAGAGATCCATAAACTTCCCAATCGTGATAGATAACTTCCTTTGTGACCTCAAAATCAACAGTAATATAATGCGGCTCTGCGTGGGACTCGAGTTGTACCATTCCGCCTCGTACGCGGCATCGCCGATCATTCTACCCTGCAAATGAGCGCAAAGCAATTAGATCGCTGGCAGAAAATCGCTTGCCCAAAACGCGGAAGGATCATTCAAGTTACAACAATTCGTTCATGAATCATGCTGACCTTAGCACTGAGGTATTCTCCAGCGTAACAAAATATGAACGCTTCCAGAGTGATGACTAAGTAGAAAAAGAGAGACTTGATCAGCATTGTCGAACCCTCCGTGTCGCCAATCGACTATAACACAGTCGAGAACGTTACATGACAAACGTTTCGGCTGACGGGCGAAACAGAAGTGCTTTAAAAACCACGCTTGCGTGTCGTACAATTATTTTGGAGGTTTGCATACAAAATACTTCGTCGTTCTATCATACATCTATAAACCGTCGATTTTTTAAGTAAAGATTTTCAATTAGAATTGTCAAAAAAAAGAGTATAAATCTCTAATTAGATTTTTAATTATAGAATTTTAAGAGAACACTAAAAAGCTCGAACGTGGATAAAATTTACCCAGGTCAACTTTTTCAACGTTGCTGTTTTTAAAAACTTTTATTTTTTTTATATAACCTTTTTTAACTTTATTAAATGAAGTTGGGAAACATTGATAGATACATGTTCCTTGATATTTTTTACTATAGACATAGTAAGAATAAACCAAGCGTGTTCTCTACTTGGCAATGAGAAGTCTGATAGAAAATGACAAGTGGCGTGTAGCTTTCTCTCTTTAACTGGAAAAGAGTGAGATAGAAAGGCCTATTTTAGAGATATTTGTGAGATAGAACACCTATTTTTCGTCTCTTTCTATCTTATCTTCAGGTTTTGCACTTCATGCTCGATCTGTTCTTACTATGTCTATGTTTTCTACACCGATAAAAAAAACAATTTTGATCATTTGTACGGAAGTTATGAGCAAACGAAACTGCGCTGGATAAAATCTGCCCATATTCAGGGTCTACTTCTTGATATTTTGGATTCTAGGGCTAACATTCACTACCAGCGTCATATGCACGCGATGGTAAATATTTTCCTTCCTCTATATACCCACGTATATATTATCAAACTATATTTTGCACAGTAGAAACTGAAACTACGTTGCACGGTTATTAGAATTCAGATTGTATTTTGAATAAATTTGATATTCATGATGAATTTATAGATAGATTTATGGATATATGAACTTCTCAAATATTTGAAACAGGTAACATTCTTATCACATATTTGTAATAAGTAACACTCGAATGCAGCATGTATTTTCTGGTGTGTAGCGCGCACATATATTAATCGTGTTCTTTGCGCAGACTCGATCGCTCGCTCGCACGTGTCGTGCATCGTGCAGCGTTACTCACGGTCACAATCACGAATCCGAGAGAGCAAATGACCAAGGTGTTCCACAGGAATTGCATCAGCGCTATGTAGGAGAAGAGGGTCTCGATGTCTCTCGAGAGCGCGATAATTCTCTGGTGTCGGCGTATTAGCGCTCTGACGGCCGAGGCTCGCGAGTCGAACGCGTTGTCGCCTGAGGAGATTTCTACCAACCCTCGGCACATAATATCGATCTGACCACCTACATGAAGAATCTAAAAATAACGGTCAACGCCCTGCAGCGTGTTCCCGGCATTGGCACGACCCAATGTAAAGAACAACTTGTGTATGCAGAGGCTCGTCGGCGGGAAAGGGCCGGCGGCGAGAGGCGGATAAATAAGATTTGTCAGATCTTAAAACTTTATATCCTTACGCACACGACGCGATATATCACTCTGAGATGAAGTGAAGGAAAATTAAATACACCTTAAAAAAAGGAAGGGTTCATGTTGAAGGTACACACTTTCTCAGGTTCTCGATGCTCGAGCATGAAAGGCGGTCTCTTGCGTGTCACTCTTATGTGCTAAAACTCGTTCCTGTTATGAAGGCAAGGTAGATTTAAACGGATTTAATGGGGTAACGCGCAGACGTTTATAATCAGCTTATATCGACGAGTCTCATTAGAGCCCTTTTCATTATGCATATAACGATACATGAAGCAAGTTATTAATCGCGCAGATGTAGCACGGGTATCTCATTACTTCGAACGCCCATTACGCGGGGCGACACGCAGCAGAAGGCGATCCGATTAAAATTGTTTTATTATTCCGTTAAATTATTTAAATTTCCACGACGCGAGCGGTAATTGTGCACGATGACACGGCTCATTTAGTCGCGCATTAATTATAATTATGCAGAGGATGCCATGGATATTATGTGTTCCACAATACCTTTTGGCTCTCAAGCACAGAGCAAACAGTTTCTCTCTGGTTTCCCTTTGCTTTCGGGTGGATCATTTATCAGCAGAAACAACGCCAGCTCCGAATTCTACTCGTGTCGTTTGATCACGTTCTCCCTTTTCGGTGTCTCGCGTGTTTCGAGCTTACAAAGCTTTGACATTAAACGCCGCGTAGTCGCAAATTATTTTTATCGTTAATTATTTTACTTGTCGATTCATTTGACTCTGCACGCACTCGCGACTACACTGTTTAACAGTCAAAAGAGCGAATTCCGCGTCGAGAGTGTTTTTTGCAGAGAGTCACGTTACGCCACGAATGAAATCCACTCACCAACGAGACGATCAAGGCGTTCAGCACGCCGACTATCGTCGCCGCCGCGAGCTGATGGAAAAACTGCACGACCATGATGACCTCGTAAACGGGCGAGGCGTTCGACTCGAAAGGCAGCTCCATTTTGAGGAACAGTTCTCGCGTCGGCACCGCGAGCTGCTCGTTCTCGGCCTCGTCGGACTCGTCGGCGTGGCCGACCAGCACTCCGGTGCCGTAGAGGAACACTGACATCGAGTACAGACCGATGATCAGGTTGGAAGATCGGTGCGAGACGTAGATCGTCCTTGACATCGAATAGGCGGCCCAGCCGGTCGCGCACTCGCTTCGATCTCGCGCCATCATCGTGAGGATGCCGTGAAATATCCTGTGAGAAACTCGACTGTCAAGGACGAGGATGCGGCTGTCAGCCTGCTTCCTCTACGTACGTATGTGCGCGACTAGAATTACGAAAATACCTTCTAATGATCGTATAAAAAGAAATCTGTCCCTTGAAGAAGGCAATTTTCATTTCAGAGGAAGAAAAGTAGACCGAATCGAATTGGATCCAAATTAGTTTCAAGACAGTTGTCGTTAATTTTCTGTTTCAAACGAGTCGTTTTATCGTGCCAGAAGAAAGTAGCACGATAAAACGACTTGTTTGAAACAATAAACTGACAACTCAAAACTTATTTAATTTTATTTCTTTTTTCTTCTCTTTTTCTTTATTTTTCTCTTTTATTTCTCAAAACTTATTTTGACCCGATTCGCCTCGGTCTATCCTACTCTAAACTGCGGTGTATGTGTTACAACGTTGTGCAGGACTTTATTATTGTATTATACAATTTAGTTATCATCTAAATGAGCATATAGTTAGCATATTATAATAAAATTATATATTTTCATATAAAAATCATATATAGTTTATCAGTGCTTTTTTCTGGAAAGAGAGGTGCTCTTACAAGAGGAGGATGAAAAAGAAACACACGAGATTATGGAAAACAATATTATTTTCTAATGATAACAAGCAAATTTTTAAATAATAATAACAAGCGAATTTCGAAATTTTTCTTCTTTAACTTCAAAAATGTCATTTATGAACTTGAAAAAAATGTTTGAAAATTTTGTTTTCATAGAAAACAAAATTCCCAGCGTCGCGGAAAAACGCGTCGAAAAAAAGCTGGTTTGTATTATATAAAAATGTTTTCGCAAGCAGGGGATGCGGCCTCTCAACGGACGAGACATTTAACGAAGCTGAGTTGCGGACGAAGGGGCGATTCTTTGCGCATTTCATCTTACTTTCAAAAAATCCGGCCAATTTAAATGCAGTCTAGAGCCGTCTGCATAGACACGGCTGAATTGCGGACAGCGCTTTTGCGCCGGGTCAGCCGCGCTGTGGGAATGTTGAACTCACCGCCGATGGATCCAGAATATCGTGAGCTTCAGCAGCAGGAGACTGTAGGACATCGTGGTGCTGAGACCATCCATGAGATGCGACAAGTCGTCGGTACGCACGTGTACGACGAAGTATCGGTACTGAAAGGTCTGCGCGATCGTCAGGGTGATCATCCAAAAGGCGCGACGGAGACTCGTGTAAGACGAATCGGGCCAGACGCCGATCGCGCGGAGGCCGATCTCGATCGAGCGGCTTACGATGCCGACGAGAGTCGAGTCGATCTTTGAAGCCATTGGCGAAACTCGGCTTGATTCGTTCGTGGCTCCTTCTCACATCGGCACCGTCGCGAAATATCTGGACACCTCGTCGAAAATCCAGGCGTGTACTTGGCGTGACAATGACGTAATCCCGACGCATGGATAAACACGGGGGTGAATACGGAGGATCGCTGTGCGTGCCTCTGATCCCCCACGCCGATGTCTTTTGCGAACCAATGAGAAATATCGGCGAGATATTCTTAACGCGATAGAAAAATTGCTGGATAAGGTTGCAACAGTCAGGTAAGATAACTGCGGCTATAGATGATGAGAAAAAAAGTAAGGAGCGCAGACGGGGAGGAGAGAGGCGAGAGGACGTCGCGTCTCTGCGGAATTACCTCGAATCCTTAAAAATTCAGGAGTCGTGCGCGATCACGCGCGAGATATCCGAGAGGGGTAATGACCGGATAGAGGTCGGGGCGTCCTGAAACGACGAGAAACGCGCCGGACGAACGTGAGCGCGCGACGAGGGAAATTAAATTGTTATATCCGGACGGTGTACGCGAGAGGGCGGGGGGAAATAATTATTTGCCGCGCGGTGTATTTTTGCGTTACCGCCGATGGGTGCGCAGTGCGCGAGCAATGGAAGAGACGTGATGTTTAACTATTGTGTGTGTATGCCACGTGTGCGCGCGCGCGTACATAATTATTACAGTGTATATAAATTTGAAATATTCATGAGGATATGTGCATGAACGCTACGACTCGATGAGTTTTACAGCCCGAACGGCTGCGCAAATAAAACGGCAACGTAATCGCATTTATCGCGTGATTTTGGCGAATTATTATGCGAATATGGTGTTTGTGAGCATAATTACAAGGCTTCGTCCCGCGCTTGGTGCTATCGCGTGCATTTAAACGTACTGTGCGCGAACACTTTTATCCCCTGACCAAATACGACGTTGTAATTTGAACGTCAGGCTCGTCAGGAAATGGAAGGATATATTTCTTAATAGTTGAAAATGAAGAAAAAACAATATCCACATTATACAGTGCAATAAAGAGAAAATATGTAGATGATGAATGAAATCAGAGAAAAGAAGAAGAAACAATACTTCGGTGTTTAGGTCCCGATGTTGCCGCTGTCGTATTATCAGGAACGTCGATATTGACGATTGAATTGACTTAATCCTGTGTGAAGTGAAAACGGTGAATGTAATCCACCAAGGTACATTCATAAAATTCAATCTGCGATTCGAAATGATCGTAAAGTACACTGAGAGAAAAATACTTAAATATTTATCTGTGCGAGATAAAAGTTCATTTCGCAGGAGTAAACTGTATATTTCACAGAAATGAACTTCATATCCCACGAATAAGAGTTCAGGTATTTTTTCTCAGTGTAATGTCTATTTGCAAGACTCGAGGTTCTTGCAGCCTTAAATCGCTCGTGACGGAAGCTCCATCCGTGACATTCGCGGCTGCGACAGTCGATTCGGGCAATCTGTCCGAGAGACAGTCGTTTATTTCTACAATTTCTTATGGCTTGTTTATCTCTCTAACATCGAACAACTCGCCTCAGAATGGCTACATGCAACGTTACGCTTGTTACTGGCTGATACGTCAGTAGCCACAATGGATGTGCTTGGCACGAGTGATCGTAATCCTCCGGTGTCCGGTTTAATACATCGCGTGCAGCACCGACATGTACGAAGCGGACGCTTTCATCACCTGACCGAAACAAAAACGATGAATTTCACTGGTGTAACGAGCAGCCAATTATTTCCCGCTTTGTCTTAACAAACATTCTCTCGCAGGCCGGTCTGCTTATCGTGTCTGTACGGCGCGTAATCGTAAGACAAAATTCTTACGCTTGTAAATCCTTCCAAGGAGAGATCCACGACGTTCCCGGCGGTGATCGTCAGTCTCTTCTGCGACCTCAATATCACAAATAATAGGACACGGCACTCGGCAGGTGTCATCTTATACCAGAGCGACTCGTATGCCGCGTCGCCGATCGATTTGCTCTGGAAAGATAGCGTGACAAAATTGCGGGGGAAACTATCACTCGCATAGCCCGGGCGAAATTTCGAACACGTGATCGAGGAATATCGATCGTCCGCGCGGAAGCTTTCAGACATTCAAGGAGAATAAGTATCGCAAGGCACCAGACCGGCCAAGTTCAATACACACGGCTACGATGAGATAGTTGCTCGCGAGGGTGGCTCGGCGCAAGAAGCTCGTAAATCATAATAGTGCCGTAATAAAGTGAAACGACGTGCGAACCTTGGCGCTCAGGTATTCCCCTGCGAAACAAAAGATGAAGGCTTCCAGCGTCACGGCGATGTAAAAAATAACTGTCTTCATCAGCACCATGGAGAGGCCGACCTTGGCGAGAGACTACGGCAGAGCGACGATCGTCTCGGGAAATATTTGGGAAAATTAGCGCGACTTTACCAAGCCTGATAACATTGATCAACGAAGCACACACGCTTATACTCACGCCTATGATCGTCAAGCCGATGCAGCAAATGACCACGGTATTCGACATGAACTGCATCAACGCTATGTTCGAGTAGAGCACGTCGATGTTATCCGAGAGCGTTATTATTCTCTGGTGCCGGACGATCAGGAGTCTTATGCCACCGACGATAGACTCGCGTGGTCGAGACGCGTCGTAATGAATCATCGACAACTCTTGACGCAGGATGTCGATCTGTCCGCTCACGTGAAGTACCTAAATGAGACTATTAATGATCTATAAATATTGTTTTTTCGAATCGTCATTAGCGAAAGTTCTCCGCGGTCGCTCTAGACAGAAGAAAAATTACATTCTCCCGTGATTTAAGCCAAATTATTCGCACTAACATCCGCCACTAGGCTCTCTCATTGGTCATGCTTCTTCTTACTTTAGATCTACAGAGCTGTGTATATAATGTAAAAAAAGATTAAAAAGAAAGTAGACGCCACGTCTATAGATCGTAGATCTTATTTATAGTCATTGCTTGAAATTTGTCTTATGTGAAATGCTCGGGTCTAAGTTTGGAGCTACATCTGAGTTTTGAAGTTGAGTCACAGGATGTACGTATTAAAATCTAAACTCAGATTCTCAATCTCTTCTGAAACAAGCTTCAAATAATGATTACAGAAATGGGCCTTAGATCGCCGTATTAATAATCGTGACTTGCGACTCGCCTTACGTACGTATGACAGGCCTCAATTCTTAAGTGTCAGATTTGAGTGTTTTATTTGAAGTATATAACACACATGACATTATATTTATAACCGCGATTCTAACCTGAAAAACTCACCTAAGGCTCCAAAGTCAGATTTGAAAGCATCTGAGAATTTCCAAGTAACAACTACAAATACAAGTCTTTAGAGAGACAGTTATCTCGAGCGATCAGAGCGAGACTCACCAGCGTGACGATCAAGGAGTTCATTGTGGCGACCAGAGCGGCGATCGACACCTCGTGGAGGCATTGACCGACCACCAAGAGCTCGAAGAGCGGAGACGCGTCAACCTTGAAAGGGAACTCCATCTTGATGGGGAGCTCTCTCGAGCTAACGTTGAGATCCTCCTTAAAGTCACCCGACTGCCGCACCAGACCGGTAATGGCGTAACACATCGCGGCGGTGGCGTTGATGCTAATCAACATGTTGGAGCAACGTCGCGACAGACTGGCGTTATCCCTCATGATGCACAGCAGCGATCGGTCGCGACCGACCGTCGACGCGTCGCTCCAGTCTCTGTCCATCGCCAGCAGAATGTCGTAGAATGTCCTGCGGAAAATCTCACGCGTACTTTACGCGCTGATATTCTCCTTCCTTATGGTCTCCTGGGAAAGAGGAACAAGTGGATCTCTCACCTGCGATTCGACCAGAGAGAGATGAGCTTGAGGAACCCGAGACTGTACGCCAGCGTGATGCTGAACGCGTCGATGAGATTCGAGATGTTGTCGATGTCGAAGTGCTCGAAGATATATACATATTGAAAGTACAACGCGACCACCAGACTTGTCATGTATGCGAACCAAGAGAAATTCCCGTACGACAGACCTGGCCAGATCCCGACAAAACGCAGGCCGATTTCGACGGAAGTGCTGATGGAGGTCGCGCACATTATCTCACATTGAATTACCCGACCGACTTCTCCTTCTCTCTATCTTCCTGTCTCTCTCTGTTTTTCTTTCTTCCTTACGTCGGAAGTGAGTGATTACCGGGTGAGCGACGCTATTCGGAAATTAAACATGAGTCTTGGTAAACTGAAAGCTACAAGCACGGCTGCGCTACGCGAGGTAACAATGCGTCGACCCCGAGAGCCGGCTCGTTATCGATTAATCGCAATTATGCGTGTTCCCGCCATGCTTAATGCAGCGGCACAGAAAAAAGAGCGTATGCTACGTATTCCCGATGATTACGGGTTGCCGCTGGCAGGACAGAAGAATAATTCGCGGAGATGCATATCAGACGTCATGAAGGGGACGCGGATTATTTGCTTAAAAATGTAGAGCCCGCAGCGCGAGATATCGCGCATGTGCGACGGTAGATGCGGCTATTGAAAGAAACTCAGGACGTGAACGAGTGTGCGAAAGGAAAGGGGACGCCGGTGAAAAGGGGAACATCGTGAAAAGGTCGTGCAGACTGCGCCTTGAGTTGTCGTTCTCTTGAAATGTGCGGAATTGCGGGCAATAACGTACACGTGTTCCTCCAGATTGGTCAAGAGAAAGTATTTATTGCTTACTAATTATTTGCTATTTACTCGCCAATTACGTCGATATCGTGTACTTTAACATATTGAATGCCATGTTATGCCGTAAATGAATGACGTTAATGCTTCGATATGTCACATCATACATACAAGTTTTATTTCAGAGAGCTTAACACCACAAGTGATGAAACAATTAATATAAAATGACACTTGGAAGTAAGAATGATGACAATAGAGAAGAAAAGTCGTGCTCCGGGGAAAAATTTAAATCAATTTGGCACGCAATATGTTAATGTACTTTAAAGTAAAACATGTTAGCTTATGTCACGAGTGTCACGACGCGACACTTTATTATTAATTGGACCGTTACGCTTATGACTAAAAATAATGCAATTCAGTCTTTACGCTCCCAAATTAAATGTATTTACGCAAGTGATATAAATTAAATGAGAGCACATGTTGCTATCAAAATGGCCATGTTGGTCAATTCGTCATATGTCAGGAAGTAAATCTCGCGCGCGTTTCTCTATGTCGGTCTCAACATTAATGGATAAACGAATGCGATTTGCCATCCGTGTCCACGCATTTCGGCGAAATTCTTGGCTGGATTTCAATACATTGCATGCAACACCGATATGTACGAAGCAGAAGCTTTCATAATCTAGAGATAAAGACGTATTTTTTATCCAAATAAGTGGTTGTAAGATTTTTAAATTAAAATTAATAAAAATAAAGGACATTAAGAGCTTATGTTACGAATCTTAAGTGTGTATATGTTTGAAATAAAATATAAACACATGTGCGCGGACATAAATTATACGCTCTCTATATATCTGTTCTAAAATCAGCAACTAAGCTCTTTTTGTCTTTTATTTCTATGAAATTTTTTATTGTACTATATAGGGTGTCTAATGTAATGTCCCATACCTCGTGTACAGATCAAATCAAACTGAACGCAAATTTCCTCTACCATTTTGCAAACAACCACGTAAAGTTTTGAATTGTTTATTAAAGAAAATTGGTGAGTGATCATATGGGATAATGCACCAATGTTAATTAATAACTAAAAATTTATGTTGTTATTTGCAAAATGGCAGAGAACTTTTTTGTTCAGTTCGACCAAATCTACATATACACGAAGTATGGAGCACTTTGCGTCAGACACGCTATATGCACGCATATCGAAATTGTGCACACAGACGTGACCGTCACGGAATCGCTTGCATCGCAAACCGTTTGCACAGTCGGCTTTTAAAATACATCCGAAATGTGTTTCATATCGATCAACATCATACGCGTATAAGAATGGGCCTTACGCTGGTGAATCCCTCCAGAGAAAGATCCATCACTTTCCCGGCCGTGATCGTCAATCTCTTTTGCGACCTCACAATCACGAGTAAGAGAGTTCGACATTGGTTGGGCGTCATATCGTACCAGACGGACTCGTAGACGGCGTCCCCGATTGATTTGCTCTGAAAAGCAACCAGCTGAATTAGACAAAAGTGACGGGAAGTCATTCGCGGATATCTGTATTTGAAAGTAACAAGGGCGAGAACTAAATTTCAAAGGAAATAGATTTGTGTTTGTGTTTGTGTGTGTGTGTGTGTGTGTGTGTGTGTGTGTGTGTGTGTGACCAACAGTTGCGAGCTAAATGCAGCGTAAAATGCAACATATTTCTTGTGCATGCTTTGGAGGTAAAATACAATCTATATAGATAGTGTGGTTGTGACCTTCGCGCTAAGATACTCTCCGGCGAAGCAGAAGACGAACGCTTCCAGCGTGATCGCGACGTAAAATAAGATGGATTTCGTTAATACTACGGCTCCTTGCTTGTTACCGATAGTCTGCAAGATCGATGAACGGATGATATAAGTCGATTAAGCCAACAACGAGATGCGAAGGCAAAATTTACGCGCTATTGAACTTTTATGAGAGCGGGTGTTACTCGAAACGGTTGTTTGAAGTAAAATTAAATACAGTCATAATAACAAAATTAATAAAAAATAAATATAACGACTCTCCACTATTCAATCCGTATCTACATTGTCGCGACTTATTACTCACAATGATAATCATGAATCCCAGACAACAGATCACCAGGGTATTCGATAAAAACTGCATCAGCGCGATCCAAGAGAAGAGACCATCAATATTGTCAGAAAGCGTAATGATTCGTTGATGCTTTAAAATGAGCACCTTAATTTCCGGCGGAAACGAAGTGTTCTGATAACTTTCCGAGGATATTTTCATCAGACCTTGTCGCATTATATCAATTTGGCCACTAACGTGAAGAATCTACGAGGAAATACTACATTTGTTACAGACATAATCTCGCTGCGTTTCTCTCTTTCTGTGTCTTCAGCTTGTAAACAGTGATTGCTTATACTTGACGCAAATTGATCCGTCTCTACCGTATAATACGGACGTGTATAGAGACAGACATTAAGTAACAATTAGCGACAGCTAATTAGCTCACCAATGTAACGACCAACGAATTGATCATCGCGACCAGAGAGGAGAGCGATAATTCGTGGAGGAATTGGGCTACCGCAGTGATCTCGAAGATTGGGGACTCATTAACCTCGAATGGGAATTCCATTTTGACGGGAAGATCGAATTTGGTCTCGCGAGGATCGTCCTCGTCCTTCGCGGAACCCCGAACAACGCCTCCAAGGACGTAGAAGACAGCGGCTGAGGCGTTGATGGACATTAAAATGTTAGAGCATCGGCGCGACAGGTTGGCATAGATTATCATCGGGTACATGCGCGAATCAGCCGTGATATACTCCTTCCAATCCTCGTCCATCGTCGCCAGGATCTCGTAAAATAATCTGCGAAAAATAACGCGAAGGGAAATATTCACATTCGATGAGACATGCGATCCAATCAAAATCCAAAGACGCGTGAAAGACACCCAAAAGATATCCGAAGGATTGACGTGTCTTTGCAGACGTCTCTTTACAACGTCTCTCACGTTGCGCGGGAAGACTCTTATATCGCTCGAATAAAATTGAGGTTCGAAACGTAGAAGGATCTGAGCGGAAAACGCAGGTGTATTTCGTAACATGAATTGTTGTCAGTGCATAACTAAACAGACATCAGAGACAGATTATGTATGTGAAGAACTCGAGTGATACATTTTCCTCTTCGTGTATGTTTTTCTTTCGAGTACAATCAATGTATTCTTTACTGAAAACTTATAACTGATGATTCAGTTAGAAGTATAGTGTCTGCGATCAGGAAAGTCTTCCTGAAGGAATCAGTATTACAAGGTCGAATCGCAGGATCGATATCGTCGAAAGAAAACGCCACGCTTGCTGATTATTCTCGATCGGTCGACAGCTTACCGGCGATTCAGCCAGAGGCTGACCAACTTCAAAAACGCCAGACTATAGGCCATAGTCATACTCAGCGCGTCTATAAGCACCGAGAGATGGTTTCTGTCGAAATTCTTGACGATGAACGCGTACTGAAAGTACATTACTATCACCACCGACGTCATGTAGACGAACCACTGGAAATTGCCGTAAGCCGAGCCCGGCCATATGCCGATAAATCGAAGACCCATCTCCACCGAAGTGCTCACGGTTGTCATTCGCGTTATAGTCATTGCGCGTTACGGCGATCCTCCGTCTGTGCTGCGCTAAATCGTCAGGTGGGCCGCCAACTATCGTACGAAATGCTTATGTCGATTGATCCGATATGCGTTGCGTGATGACGAGACCACTGACCGATTGCAGGGGAGTAGACAACAAAGTGGTAGGACCTCTCTGGACAGTTATCGATCTCGCGTAATTACGTTCGCGTCGTACGTTACCCCAGCTGTGTCGAATGCATCAAGATTGCAGGCTCGGGAGCAAAAACGATCAACAGGCTGCCTCCTACTATTGCCATATTACGCGGTAGGGAGGTATTTTTCTTTAAAAATGCAAATCTTCCGTCGAGCACGCGCTCATCCATATCTAACGGCGGTATTACCTGTAATATCGTCGCGAGGAAACAAAACGCTCCGCTCGAAACGGAGAGAAACCTCTCCGGCGCAGGAAGCATACAAACCGGAAGCGTAATGCGCGTAGATCGGCAAGAATTTCACGTTACGAAGGCTCTTGTGAGGTGGACTGTTTTCCCGGATAACACGATATCTTTTATTGTGCACAGTGCAACACGACAAAGTGGCAGAGAGAGGACTCGCGTTTGTATCATGAACAACTTTGTGTGTGGATCTTAAAAACAATATTAAACAATTTTGTGTATTAATTTATGCAATTTGTTACTTCATTATTAGAAATAATATAACTTCTGCCTGATTAGTTGTATTATATCATAGTGATTCGTATATATAACAGAAAATAAAAATGGAACATCGAGTCGTTTTCTTATACGTAACACACTGTGAGAAAAATAATCTAAAAAATAATAAATATCTATTCGATGGGTACTAACAGTATATTTACTTAAATCTAAATTCTTTTAGATAGAATAAACAATTGCTTTCATGAAAAGCTAAGGTTTTCTTAAGACTTTAAGAAAACATATATTTTCTTATTTGAAACACATTTTATATTAGTATAAGTAAATACGCTGTTAATATACCTACCAAATAGATATAATTTTTAGATATTTTTTCTCTCAATATACAAATATAAGTGTAATGTATTTAGTGCAGCAACTTTTCCTAGAGAATGTTAGGTAAACGACGATAATTGTGAGACAAACACGAGACGCTAGACTTACCGGAGTGTAGATAACGGCGTATACAATACCAACTTTCGCTGCATGTGGAATAACGTACAGAAATAGGCTTGTGTAGACTAGAAGCTTGGAGGGTGACGATTGCTCGACTTCAAAGGGGATTTTCAGCTCGAGAGGAAGTTGTAACGACATGTTATTGCGTTTCTCCATTAGATTCAGAATACGCGTCCCGTACTTCCATCCCTTCCTTCTAAAAGAGATATAGTGTTGCGGATGACACATTGATGCTCGATATTATATCGGAGCAAAAATGTGAGATATTGGTTCTGGTCATGACGCATAAGTGTCGATCGACATTACGCCGCACTAACGCCAATCATGATCCATCGGCACCAGAATTTTGTGACATGCTGCATTGTATAACTTAATCCAATTGCGGCTATGTCAAGCGCAGAGTGCGTCAAAATTTTGTAGAAAAATGTGACTAGCTATTATAACTCTTGAGAACGAAAAAAGTCTTAGTATGTGTCGTATTTGTTAATCAATCGTCCTCATAATATTCAGCTTCTCATATTTTACAAGCTGTGCTTTTGTATGAATTTTTGTATATTCTATCGATAAATTAGAAAGAGAAAAGAAGCTACAAACGTTGTGTTGCGCAATCTCCCCACATACTTTCTTCCACTAATAACGCGATGCTACAAAAAAAGAAGCGAACAACCTCCCCGCGTTCTCTACACATCCTGAAGACCATTTAATGCACGGAAACACGGCTGAACTATCGCAATTACGCATTAGACATTCAAATCGATCAAACTCGTATTGTACCCGCGGTTGCAAGACCCTTGTAAGGAAATAAATAAAGGAGAAAACATCGAAACATTGTATCTCTTCTACACTGAGGATGCATAACATAATAATGCGTAACTTTCTACCATATTTCAGAGCTCCACATTCTACCCAGTGTATACCTGAACGAAGTATCAAAGGTGAAAAAATCAGAAACGCGGCTAGAGATGTACTGAGAAGCCTAGTTGCAGATGCAGGCAACGGACAATCGCATACACGCTATCTACATAATGTTATCTACATAATGTTATCTACATAAACGCTATAAATACACTTCAGATTGCCGATGACAGCGACAAATACGTTGGACACAATGTAAGACTATATACATTATTTTCCGTAGGTAAAATATTTTAATATAGTAAGTATTTATACAATATAATAACAAAATACTAAAAAAGCGTTTATTGTTTTGTATTAAAAATAAGGTGGTGTAATCTGTGATCTTTGATTACACTTTGCATCTACATCAAGATTTATACTACGATTATCATACAATTTCAATGGTAATAATTTCTCTAAATCATCCCATAATAATAATAATGCCATTTAACGTTGCCGTACGATAGTTTAATGTGTCATTAATACATCGCATGCAAGACTGACACATATGACGCCGACGCTTTCATGATCTAAAATACGTTCAAACAAATTATTACTTGCAAAGAGGTGCATATATTACATATGTGAACGATACATTCTGCAAGCAAACGCTGAAATTAATTAGGAAAAGTACAAAATATTAGACAGTTATAAATAAAAAATGTCTGTAAGCTTACACTCGTGAAAGCTTCTAATGATAAATTCGTCATTCCTCCAGCCGTAATACTGAGTTGTTTCTGAGATCTCATGATTACGAATAATATGTTTTTACTTTCATTAGACGACATGTTATACCATAAAGATTCATACGCGGCATCAGCGAGTGATCTACTCTGAGAGTAATGTAACAAACATAAATTGAAGTAAAATGTCTTCTTTTATTAAAAAAATTAAATAGTATTTGTAATCTACAAGTATCATAAAACTATTTAAATACCATGGAAAGTAATTATATGTATTATAAAATCTTGTATGATAATTAGCTTGAACGAAATATGGAAGTGAAGAAAAACTTCCATCTTCGTTTAGCAGTTAGTATGAACTTATCAATTAATATATGAAAATACATGCATTTTTCCCAATATATATGTAGCAAAAACGTTTTCAACAAAGAATTATCCTAAATAAACTTTTACGGTTAATAATTAGTTATTAACTTAGGTTGGTGAAAAGATAACTTATACTTGACTACTTTTATATATTCACTAACCTTAAAGCTAAGATATTCTCCGGCAAAGCAAAAGACAAAAATTTCCAACATTATGGCGCTGTATGCAAACACGGCTTTCACCAGGGCGATGCCAGTATCATTATGAATAGACTGTTTCATTGAACGATCAGATAAATTAAATGAATTACGATATCGATCATCGCGGACAGATACACAGATACTCACTGACATGACGAGAAGACCTAGGGGGCAGATAACCAAGGTATTCCAAAAAACTTGCATCAAAGCCATAAAGGAAAAGAGTTTGTCCAGATTTTCGGAAAATGCAATAACTTTATGGTGCCTCTCGATCAACATTCCTATTGCATATTCAGCAGATTTGCAATGGGCTATTTTCTCAGAGATGGTTCTAAACTCTTGACTTACGATATCGATTTGTCCGCTTGCATGAAGTACCTAAAATACATTTAAGTATCCGCAAAGATTTAAAGAAGAAAACGCGAAAAATATCTCCGCTAAAGGAAGTACAAAAAAAAAAGCAGAACGTAATATACTTCATATGTATATCGAATAATCGATTATTCAAATTTAAAAATCTACTGACACGTGACCAATAACTATTTATATTTTCAGATTTTTAGCTTTTACTGCTTGAAACAAAAAATTTATAAATCAGATTCGACGGCAAATAAAACTATATTAGTCTCCTCATATAAATATTTGAAATGTGAACTTTTGAAATGTGTGTCGGCCCATTACAGAATTTTGCGAGACATACCAGAGTAAAGATCAGCGCGTTCAGAATAGCAACCGAGTACGTATTTAACATGACATGCGCAAACAAGATGACGACTAGCAGCTCGTAGATGGGCGATTGCTCGGCCTCAAAGGGGAACAGTATCTTGATGGGAAACGGTCGTGAGGTGTTATTGTCACTCTCTGTCAGGTATATGATACCAATTGCATAATCGCCCAGGAGGTAAAACACCCCAGCGACCGCGTTGAAGCTCACCAAAGCGTTCGAGCAAAAATGCGAGATACTAGCTTTCGTCATCATCACTTGCAAATACCGATCGACGTTCACGCACTCGCGCCAATCAGTGTCCATAGCGGCCAGTATCTCGCGCACCACGCTGCAATGTATCGCTTTAATCGGATTCAGGTACTTCGTGCGATATCACCCTTACGCGAAATGGCACACCGTTGTCTGTACTAATATTTAGACACTGTGATTATTAAGTTATGTCTATTATTGGACGAACGGTACACATTGAGAACGATATACACTGAGAAACTGTACGTCGGCCTCCTCGAACGCGGATACGAATCGGAGGAACTCAATATCGCTTTATCTAACACGATACCTTACCGAAAATTCGTCCAAAGCGTCATCAGTTTCATAACGGTCAAGCTGTAATCTAACGCCACTGGCAAGCCGTCCACGAGATTCTGCAGCTCGCCAGGCTTGCAGTACGCGAATACGTACAAGTACTGAAAGTACTGCACGATCAATATGCTCGACATGTAAATCAACCGGATAATATTAGTGTATGGCATGTCCGGCCATAAACCGAGAAATTGAAGACCGATCTTCAAGGATGGACTGATTGTGCTCATGACTACAATCTCTCAATGGTCTCGCGAGAAGACGCGAGAAAATGAAAGTCGAAACGTGCACGTCACTCTCGTGTATGACAAACTGAGAGAACACCGACCGATTCTCCAAGTGCATCCCCACGTGTTGCGTCCCCACTCCGGTCAGCTTCGATCAATCGTTATTATGCGTTGCGTGGTATGACAGTAAGTCGAGATAAAGCTCATTATCCTCACAGACATCCTATAATGTCATCGACGTTCTGAATAATGTCTTCTGGCCGCGCATCGAGAAAAAAGTTACACGTATGTCTTCTCAAGAGAGGTGGTCGGTGTTCTTTTCCACAACTTGCCCCCACGACAATGTGTAATGTCGTGGACAAGAAATGAGTGATCTTCCCGTTTTTTTCTATGTGCACCCAAGACCATTTAGCGTATGGTGAAGCAATTGTAATTCTGCATTAGTTATTCTAACCGCACGGAACTAAATTATACGCGCAACCACGTCTTAAATCTTGAAAAAAATAGATGAAGGGAGAATATTATTTCTCCTTTGTGCTAGGAGCGAACGAATAATGGCGAGTAATTTTCATAAATGCTACTAAGAAAAACGTTCTCCGCAGTGCGCTTATGAAATAGTATCAAAAAAAGAAATCCGAATTGTGGATATAGATGGAAGTTTAGTGCAGACATAGGCATCGTAAAGATACTACTTTGAGTTGCGTGGAAATGCACAAACTTCCCGACGAAGGTTCAATGCTAGATAGGCTGGATATGCTGTAAGAACACATTAGTTTTTCTAAGTAAAATATTTAATATATAATATAGTAACAGAGCACCAAGAAAGTGTTCATTATATTAAATATAAATCGAAACAATTTAACACCTGAAGTGCCCGATTAAACTCTTGCATCTACATCAAAATTTAGCCTACGATTATCGTATAATCTTGTCGATAACAATTTCACTAATTTTCTGCCTACTAATAAAGTCGTTTAGGATTAACGTTGTCGTACGGTAGCTTTGAGTGTATCAGTACATCGCGTACAAGACCGACACGTATGACGCCGACGTTTTCATGATCTAAAATACGTAATAACCAATTATTATACGCAAGGAGGTGCATATACTCTATATGTAAACGATACATTTTGCAAGTAAGCACTGCAATTAATTAGAAATAGTACAAAATATTAAATAGTTATAGTTAAATAGTTATTGAATCAAGAAAAATCTGCAAGCTTACACTCGCGTAAACTTCTAACGATAAATTCGCCATTCCTCCGGCCGTGATACTCAGCTGTTTTTGAGATCTCATGATGACGAATAATATACTTTTACTCACATTAGACGACATGTTGTACCATAAAGAATCATACGCGGCATCAGCCAGTAATCTACTCTGAGAACAACAAACAGAAATAAGAGTAAAATAATATTCTCCCTTTTTTAGAAAAATTAGACAGTTTGCGTATAAGTTTTATAAGAAGTTTTTAATTAGACGTATAAATTTTATAAGAAGTTTTTAATGCAATTGAAAATAACTATACTATAGGGTGTCCGGTAATTGATCGAGCAACCGCCGTGTACGGATAGAACGGGTCAAAATAATCATAGAAGTTATATTTTGAAATTTTCTCAATATTTATTCCGTAATTAATTAAATGTATAAATGAATGAGCTTACAAGAAGCGGTAAGACAGGCTCTGTGTGTAAAAAAAATGGCTTACCTCTTAGCAACGATAGTTGATTTCGCGGCGGAGTAACGTATACATATCGCTTGTTACTCCGCCTCGAAATCAGCTGTTTACTTATCGTTGCTAAGAGGTAAGCCATTTCTTTTATAGACAGAGCCTGTCCTACCGCTTCTCATGAGCTCATTCGTTTATATATTTTAATTAATTACGGAATAAATATTGAGAAAATTTCAAAATGGTATATAACTTTTATGATTATTTTGACCTGTCCTACCTGTACACGGCGGTTGCTCAATTAGCTACCGGACACCCTGTATATACACACATCATATATGAATTCTTACATAATAATTAATCTACAACTTAAACATGGAAATAAAAGAAAATTTCCATTTCAACTTAATAATTAATATGAACTTATCAATTAATATATATGAAGACACGCATTTTTCAAATATGTATGTTACAAAAATGCTTTTAGTCAAAAATTGCCCAAACAATTTAACTACTACGGTCAATAATTAAATTGTTAAATTAGGTTGATGAAAAAGAGAAAAGTTTCTCACTTAACTATTTTGAAATATTCACTAACCTTAAGATTAAGATATTCTCCAGCAAAGCAAAAGATAAAAATTTCCACCATTATAGCACCGCAAGCACATGCGGCTTTCACCATACCGACGCCAGTATCATTATGAATAGACTGTTGCATTCGACGATCACATAAGTTGAATGAATTACGATATCGATCATCGCGCGTTTGCACAGACATTGAGATACTTACCGAAATGACGAGTAGACTCAGGGCACAGATGACTAGGGTATTCCAAAAAATTTGCATCAGAGCCATAAAGGAAAAAAGTTTATCCATATTCTTAGAAAATACGATAACTTTATTGTGTCTCTCGATCAGCATTCCTAATGTATGATCAGAAGATCTGTAATAGGATACTTTCTCGGAAATAGTTCTTAACTGTTGACATAAGATATCGATTTGTCCACTCGCATGAAGTACCTAAAATATACTTAAGTATCTGCAAAGATTTCAAGTATCATGTTTAAAGAACAAAATACGTTCTGGAGAAGATATCCACCAAAAGGGAAAAAGAAAAGCAGAACGTAATATCTTCGACGCGTATATGAATGTAATAGTCGATTATTCAAATTTTTAAAAATTTTCCGACCAGTGATTAGTAATGTTTCATACCTTTATATTAAAATTTGCTTATGGTAGAATTTGTGTCAAACAAAAATTTATTATTTGGATTCGACGACAAGTAAAACTATATTAGTCCTCCTATATGAATACTTTTAGGATATGATTCGTTACAAAATTTTGTGAAACATACCAGAGTAACAATCAACGCGTTCAGAACAGCAATCGTATACGTATTTAACATGACATGTACAAAGAGGAAGACGACTAGCAGTTCGTACATCGGCGATTGCTCGGCCTCGGAGGAATATAGTAACTTCATAGGGAACGGTCGTGAGGTATCATTGTCGCCAAGATGCACCATACCAATCACGTAATCTCCCACAAAGTAGAGTGCTCCCACGAACATGTTGAAACTCATCATGACGTTCGTGCAAAAATGCGAAATGCTAGCTTTTGTCGTCATTACGTGCAAATCCCGCTCGACGCACTTGCGCCAATCGGTGTCCATATGATTTAGCATTTCGCGAACCACGCTGCAATGTATCGATTTAATTGAACAAGGATACTATTCATGTTGGCAGTATCATGTTGCGCGATGGCCTCTTCGAACGCGGAAATAGATCGGAGGAACTGAATATCGTGATATCTTACCGATCATTCGTCCAAAGTGTCACTAGCTTCATTAAAGTCAAACTGTAATCAAAAGCCGGGGGCAAGCCGTCCATGAGGTTCTGCAACTCGCCTGGCTTGCAGTGCGCGAAAACGTATAAATACTGAAAGTACTGCATAATCAGTATGCTTGACATGTAAACCAGCCGGTTAATGGTAGCAAATGGCATGCCCGGCCACGCACCGAGAAACTGAAGACCGACCTTCAGCAACGGACTAATCGTGCTCATGCCTATCGCTTACCAACGATTCCGAGAATACACGGAGGAATTAAAATCGGAGAATGTACGGGACTCCCGTGCATGATAAACTGAGGGAGCACCGTCCAGTTTTTCAGGTGCATCCCCACGTGCTATGTCCCTACTTCGGCGACCTCCGATCAATCGTTATTATGCGTTGCGTGGTATAACAGTAAGTCTCGAGATAAAGCTCATTATCCGCGTGCATCCTGTAATTCCACCAACGTTCTGAATAATGCTTTCCGATCGCGCATTGTAAAAAAATTTACACGTATGTATCTACGGGAGGTGGCCGGTTTTTTCCGTGAATTGCCTCCACAATGTGATGTCGTCGACAAGAAATGAGTGATCTTTGCATTTTAATGCCTATCGAGGATTATTCAACGTACGGTGACCCGGGAAAACAACCGTAATTTTGCATTAGTTATTCTAAACGTACGGAACTGAATTAATACGGGCGACCACAAGTTTTGAAAAACATAAACGAAGAGGAATATTATTTCTCCTTTGCGATAGAAGCAAACGAATAATGACGAATAATTTTCATAAATACTACGGAGAAATGCGTCTTCCGGTGTGCACGTAAGAAGTATCAAGAAAAAAAACTTGAATCGTGTAGGTTATATAGAAGCTTAGTGGAGACACAGGCAACGTAAAGATACCGCCCGAGCTGTGTGGAAGTGCACATACACTTCCCGAAGAAATTCAATTTCCAAAGAAATTCAATGCTAAATACGTTGTAAGACTACATTATATTTCCTAGATAAAATATTTTAATATACAATATAGTAATAAAGTAATAGAAAAGATATTTATTTTATTAAATATAAATATTTATAGATATTTATTGTATTAAATATAAATCGGGATAGTATTACCTACAAATTCTCGATTACATATTGTATCTGCATCAAAATTTAACCTAAGCTTATTTATTATATCACTGATAATTTCTCTAAATTTTCAGCTCATACTAATAGTATTTTTTAAGATTAACACTGCTGTACAATAGTTTTAACTCATATCAGTACATTGCATGCAAGACGGACACATATGACGCCGACGTTTTTATGATCTAAAATATGTTCAAACAAATTATTATTTAAGGAGGTTCATGTACTCTATATGTAAATGATATATTAATCAGAAGAAGTTCGAATTACTAAACAGTTATAGGAGTTATCAAGAGAAGTTTGCAAGCTTACACTCGTGAAAACTTCTAACGATAAATTCGCCATTCCTCCGGCTGTGACACTTAGTTGTTTCTGAGATCTCATAATTACGAATAATATATTTTTACACTCATTAGATGATATGTTGTACCATAAAGAATCATATGCGGCATCAGCGACTGATCTACTCTGAGAGCAATGTAACAAATAGAAATTGAAGTAAAATAGCACTCCCCTTTATTAGAAAAATTAAATATTTGCAGCGTATAAGTTTCATAAAAGTTTTTAATACAATGAGAAATAACTATATATATCACGAATCCTTACATAATAATTAGTGTGCAACTTGAACGAAACAAGGAAGTGAAGGAGCATTACTATTTCAGCTTAATAATTAATACGAACTTATCAATTAATGTATCAAGAAGAATGTATTCTTTCAAATATGTATGTTGTAAAAATTTTTTCAATCGAAAATTGCTCCATATGATTAGACTACTATAGTAATAATTAATTAGCAAACTATGTTGAAAAGATAACAGATAAGATAATGGAAAAAATAAAATGGAATAAATTTACACTTAATTACTTTTAAATATTTACTAACCTTAACACTAAGATATTCTCCGGCGAAACAAAAGATAAAATTTTCCATTATTATGGCGCTGCAAGCAAGTGCGGTTTTCACTAGGCCCATGCCAATATTATTATCAAGAGACTGTGCGATTAAACGAGATATATATTGTCAGCTAAATTGAATAAATTTACGATATCGATTACTGCGCAACTGTACAGAATCTAAGATACTTACTGACATGACGAGGAGACCTAGGGAGCAGATGACTAAAGTATTCCAAAAAACTTGCATTAAAGCCATAAAGGAAAAGAGTTTGTCCACATTTTCGGAAAATGCGATGACTTTATTGTGCCTCTCGATCAACATTCCTATTGCATACTCAGAAGATCGATAATGGGCTATTTTGTCAGAAATATTTTCAAACCCTTGACGTATAATATCGATCTGTCCACTGGCATGAATTACCTAAAATATACTTAAGTATCTGCAAAGATTTCAAGTATTATGTTTAAAAAAGAAAATGCATTCTGGAGAAAATCTCCACCAAAATGGGAAGAAGAAAGCAAAACGTAATATCTTCTTGTATATTAATATAATAGCTGATTAAATAGATTTTAAAAAATTTTCCGACCAGTGATTAGTAATTATCCATATAATTAAATTGAATTTTACTAATAGTAGAATTTGTATAAAATAAAAATTCATTATTTGGATTCGACGGCAAGTAAAACTATATTAGTTCTCTCACGTGTGTATATTTAGAATGTGAGTCACAGAACGTTACAGAATTTTGCAAGACATACCAGAGTACAAATCAGCGCGTTCACAATAACAACCGTATACGTATTTAACATGGCATGTGTAAACAGAATGACGACTAGTAGCTCGTAGATCGGGGATTGCTCGGCCTCGGAGGAATACAGTAACTTTATAGGAAAAGGTCGCGAGGTATCATTGTCGCCTTTGGCCAAATGCACCATACTGATCGCGAAATCCCCCGCAAGATAGACAACTCCAGCGAACATGTAGAATCTCATCATAACATTCGTGCAAAAATGCGAGACGCTAGCTTTCGTCGTCATTACGTGCAAATCCTGCTCGATGCTCAGACATTCGCGCCAGTCAGTGTCCATATGGGCCAATATTTTGCGAACCACTCTGCAATGTGTCACTTTAATCCAATAAAGATATTACTCATGTTGGTATATTATGATGATTATTATGATATTATAATGATGCACGATGGTGCAAAAACTCAAAACGAGTTGAAGGAACTCAACATAATATTGTTTGACACAGTATCTTACCGGTCATTTTTCCAAAGTATTATCAGTTTCATTAATGTCAAAGTGTAATCAAAAGCCGCCGGCAAGCCGTCCACGAGATTTTGCAGCTCACCAGGCTTGCAGTACGTGAATACGTACAAATACTGAAAGTATTGCATGATCACTATGCTCGACATGTAAACCAGCCGGTTAATGGTAGCAAATGGCATGCCCGGCCACGCACCGAGAAACTGAAGACCGACCTTCAGCATCGGACTAATCGTGCTCATGCCTATCGCTTACCAACGATTCCGAGAATACACGGAGGAATTAAAATCGGAGAATGTACGGGACTCCCGTGCATGATAAACTGAAGGAGCACCGTCCAGTTTTTCAGGTGCATCCCCACGTGCTATGTCCCTACTTCGGCGACCTCCGATCAATCGTTATTATGCGTTGCGTGGTATAACAGTAAGTCTCGAGATAAAGCTCATTATCCGCGTGCATCCTGTAATTCCACCAACGTTCTGAATAATGCTTTACGATCGAGCATTGTAAAAAAATTTACACGTATGTATCTACGAGAGGTGGCCGGTTTTTTCCGTGAATTGCCTCCACAATGTGATGTCGTCGACAAGAAATGAGTGATCTTTGCATTTTAATGCCTATCGAGGATTATTCAACGTACGGTGACCCGGAAAAACAACCGTAATTTTGCATTAGTTATTCTAAACGTATGGAACTGAATTAATACGGGCGACCACGAGTCTTGAAAAACATAAACGAAGAGGAATATTATTTCTCCTTTGCTATAGAAGCAAACGAATAATGACGAATAATTTTCATAAATACTACGGAGAAATGCGTCTTCCGGTGTGCACGTAAGAAGTATCAAGGAAAAAAACTTGAATCGTGTGGGTTATATAGAAGCTTAGTGGAGACACAGGCAACGTAAAGATACTGTCCGAGCTGTGTGGAAGTGCACATACACTTCCCGAAGAAATTCAATTTCCAAAGAAATTCAATGCTAAATACGTTGTAAGACTACATTATATTTCCTAGATAAAATATTTTAATATACAATATAGTAATAAAGCAATAGAAAAGATATTTATTTTATTAAATATAAATATTTATAGATATTTATTGCATTAAATATAAATCGGGATAGTATTACCTACAAATTCTCGATTACATATTGTATCTGCATCAAGATTTAGCCTAAGCTTATTTATTATATCACTGATAATTTCTCTAAATTTTCAGCTCATACTAATAGTATTTTTTAAGATTAACACTGCTGTACAATAGTTTTAACTCATATCAGTACATTGCATGCAAGACGGACACATATGACGCCGACGTTTTTATGATCTAAAATATGTTCAAACAAATTATTATTTAAGGAGGTTCATGTACTCTATATGTAAATGATATATTAATCAGAAGAAGTTCGAATTACTAAACAGTTATAGGAGTTATCAAGAGAAGTTTGCAAGCTTACACTCGTGAAAACTTCTAACGATAAATTCGCCATTCCTCCGGCTGTGACACTTAGTTGTTTCTGAGATCTCATAATTACGAATAATATATTTTTACACTCATTAGATGATATGTTGTACCATAAAGAATCATATGCGGCATCAGCGACTGATCTACTCTGAGAGCAATGTAACAAATAGAAATTGAAGTAAAATAGCACTCCCCTTTATTAGAAAAATTAAATATTTGCAGCGTATAAGTTTCATAAAAGTTTTTAATACAATGAGAAATAACTATATATATCACGAATCCTTACATAATAATTAGTGTGCAACTTGAACGAAACAAGGAAGTGAAGGAGCATTACTATTTCAGCTTAATAATTAATACGAACTTATCAATTAATGTATCAAGAAGAATGTATTCTTTCAAATATGTATGTTGTAAAAATTTTTTCAATCGAAAATTGCTCCATATGATTAGACTACTATAGTAATAATTAATTAGCAAACTATGTTGGAAAGATAACAGATAAGATAGTGGAAAAAATAAAATGGAATAAATTTAAACTTAATTACTTTTAAATATTTACTAACCTTAACACTAAGGTATTCTCCGGCGAAACAAAAGATAAAATTTTCCATCATTACGGCGCTGCAAGCAAGTGCGGTTTTCACTATGCCCATGCCAATATTATTATCAAGAGACTGTGCGATTAAACGAGATATATATTGTCAGCTAAATTGAATAAATTTACGATATCGATTACTGCGCAACTGTACAGAATCTAAGATACTTACTGACATGACGAGGAGACCTAGGGAGCAGATGACTAAAGTATTCCAAAAAACTTGCATTAAAGCCATAAAGGAAAAGAGTTTGTCCACATTTTCGGAAAATGCGATGACTTTATTGTGCCTCTCGATCAACATTCCTATTGCATACTCAGAAGATCGATAATGGGCTATTTTGTCAGAAATATTTTCAAACCCTTGACGTATAATATCGATCTGTCCACTGGCATGAAGTACCTAAAATATACTTAAGTATCTGCAAAGATTTCAAGTATTATGTTTAAAAAAGAAAATGCATTCTGGAGAAAATCTCCACCAAAATGGGAAGAAGAAAGCAAAACGTAATATCTTCTTGTATATTAATATAATAGCTGATTAAATAGATTTTAAAAAATTTTCCGACCAGTGATTAGTAATTATCCATATAATTAAATTGAATTTTACTAATAGTAGAATTTGTATAAAATAAAAATTCATTATTTGGATTCGACGGCAAGTAAAACTATATTAGTTCTCTCATGTGTGTATATTTAGAATGTGAGTCACAGAACGTTACAGAATTTTGCAAGACATACCAGAGTACAAATCAGCGCGTTCACAATAACAACTGTATACGTATTTAACATGACATGTGTAAACAGAATGACGACTAGTAGCTCGTAGATCGGGGATTGCTCGGCCTCGGAGGAATACAGTAACTTTATAGGAAAAGGTCGCGAGGTATCATTGTCGCCTTTGGCCAAATGCACCATACTGATCGCGAAATCCCCCGCAAGATAGACAACTCCAGCGAACATGTAGAATCTCATCATAACATTCGTGCAAAAATGCGAGACGCTAGCTTTCGTCGTCATTACGTGCAAATCCTGCTCGATGCTCAGACATTCGCGCCAGTCAGTGTCCATATGGGCCAATATTGTGCGAACCACTCTGCAATGTGTAACTTTAATCCAATAAAGATATTACTCATGTTGGTATATTATGATGATTATTATGATATTATAATGATGCACGATGGTGCAAAAACGCAAAACGAGTTGAAGGAACTCAACATCATATTGTTTGACACAGTATCTTACCGGTCATTCTTCCAAAGTGCTATCAGTTTCATTAATGTCAAAGTGTAATCAAAAGCCGCCGGCAAGCCGTCCACGAGATTTTGCAGCTGACCAGGCTTGCAGTACGTGAATACGTACAAATACTGAAAGTATTGCATGATCACTATGCTCGACATAAAAATCAGCCGGATAATAATTGCGAATGGCATATCCGGCCACGCACCGAGGAACTGAAGACCGATTTTCAACGATGGACTAATCGTGCTCATGACTAATACCTGTCAACTATCTAGAGGACACGCAGAGACAGAAAAATCGGAGCATACACGGGGCTCTCGTGTGTAGTAAATTGAAAGAGTATCATCCTCCGAGTGCACTGTCCTCCAAGTGCACCCCCACGTATTACGACCCTACTCAGGTAACTTTCGATCAATCGTTATTATGTGCTGCGGGGTATAACAGAAGGTCGAGATAAACTTCATTATCTACGTGGACTTCCTGTAATTTCGCCATCGCTCTGAACAATGCCACCTGATCGGGCGTCGAAAAAAAAATTACGCGTGTGTCTCTGCGAAAAGTTCTCGGTTGATTTCCGCAAATTACTTTCACGACAATGTGCTATCGTCGACAAGAAAAAGTGATCTTCGCATTTTCTATGCGCACTGAAGATTATTCGTAAGCGTACTCAGAGGAGCGATTATAATGCGGGGCATTAGTTATTCTAAGTGAACGGATCTGAATTACATGCGTGACGAGACTTGAAAGAAATAAGCGAAAGGAAGACATTGTGTCTGCCATTCTAAAGATGAATAACGAATAATGACGAGTAATTTTCATAAATGCGAAAAGTATGTTCCAGTCTGTATGTATGAAGTATCAAAGGAAAACCTGAGTCGTATAGGTATACATAGTAGTATAGTAGGTATACATAGTAGGTATACTTAGTGGAGATATTTGCAGTGTAAAAAAGCTATTTGAGCAGTTTGGAAACACATATACGCTTCCCAAAGAATATTAAATGCTAAACACGTTGGATATGACGCAAAACTACATTATATTTTCTAGTTAAAATATTTTAATACACAATATGATAACAAACTAGGAATAAAGTATTTATTTTAATTAATATAAGCAGCGATAAGGTGTAACCTACAAGTTTTTGGTTACATTATATATATATATATATATATATATATATATATATATATATATATATATATATATATATATATATATATATATAT